TTTAGTGTAAACTTTTAAAGAATGCAAATCCCCATGAACATGGGTACTAAGTTATTAATTATCGAATTCAAACCAAACTAATGCAGAGTTGTCAGTGCATTGTCATGGTAAGACGAGCCTAACTCACCTTTTGTCAGCAGTTTTTAAAAACTGTATAAAATGTGTTTTTTCGTTTAATGTTTGGGGTGCCAACAAAAACATGACAATACTGAAAACAGCATACAAAATACTTTTTTTTTTTTTCAAATGGGTAAGATGCTTTGAATCAGACTACCGGTATATGTAATGATGTGTACTATTATAAAGTCATACCGGGAGATTTTTTTAACAAAAGGGGAGTAACTACATCAACTAATCACTGCACGTAAATTTATGACCTACCTACACGTTACCTCCCCTTTAATGAAAATATTTTTTGATTCAACCCGTCACTTGAACAAGTTAAGTGCCTCTTTTCAAAATATACATCCACTATCCCATCGCTCATCGACTGATTGGTTAAACTGTGATAGCATCGAAATTAGGGACATCGAAAAAATGTTTGATTTACTTTTTTTTTTTTTTGGAAGTATCCATTTGGTAACTAGGCTCGACTCTTGAACTTAGTTCTTACTGTCCAAAGTAAAGAGTTTGCACTTAACTACTCCCTCCTCAAGACATGGGCAGACTGGCCACTTGCCCAGAGCCACGCACCTCTAGAGGGACTCATGCTTCTTGGGGAACTCACTCCTCTAGGGCAGTGGATCTCAATCTTTTTGAAGTCGGGAAACAATAAACTCTGATTTTTTTCTTCTGCGCGTAACACTTACAATGCAGTCTTGTATTATTTTAATAAACATATTGTGCCCTTGATTTTTAAAAAAAAAAACGTTGGCCATCCATGCTTAAAGCTTATGTTGTATGTTCAGAGTTTAGAGTTGTCCATCCCTGCTTACAAGGGTTATTTTATAAAAGATCAAAATAACGACTTTGATTGATGCAAAAATATTCATTTAAAAATTTTTTAAAATTACAATACTTTTTTTTTTTCAGTTCGCAAATTTAGTGCGGCACATGAGCTTGGTGATCTTTGCAGATTTCGGCAATATTGGGATAAAGAATAAAGAATAAAGAATAAAGAATAAAGAATAAAGAATAAAGAATAAAGCCACTCGCAACTCATCTTCTAAAGTTCACAGGCTCTCGCGTTTCTATGTGTTAATATAAACAACTGGGAATCCTGCTTCACAAAGATATTACGTGGAAAATCATAATAATATTTTTTTAAAAAGGAAATGGGGGGGGGGGGGGTTGTTGCTTGACCCGGGTGTTCATCTTTAACAGAATCCACAATTTTTCAGGATTATTTTCAAATAACTTAAATTTGAATCCGCGATCAGAGAGGATAAAAAGGAAATGGGGGGGGGGGGTTGTTGCTTGACCCGGGTGTTCATCTTTAACAGAATCCACAATTTTTCAGGATTATTTTCAAATAACTTCAATTTGAATCCGCGATCAGAGAGGGATGTCGGTTCTTCTTTTTCATTTCAGAAACTAATTGATTTCTAATCAAATTAAATTATTCGGTGTTTAACTATTGCTAATTTTATTAATTTTTTTAAAAATTTTCTTCTATTGTTGTTAAATGTTCGATTAATAAAGAAAGTATTACCTTGTTTGCATCCTGTACAGAAGGGGACATTTCCGTGTTTCTTTCGCTTACTTGTTTCTTCCATTTAGTAAAAAATAAATTAATTGCACATAATTTCCCAGTGAATGTGAGGATATTTTCGTGTTTTTCCTTGCATACTTATATTGACAGTGTTAAAGTGGGCAAAAGAAGTGTACTTATAGTGATAGTATTACTATTTTAGCACAACAGACCAGTTCATTATCGACCTTCCAAGTACCAGACAACTTAAAACTTTGGCAGAACCTCGAAACACGAAACTTTAGCCAGTCAGTTCGACGCCATAGCTTCGAAACATGAATCTTTAGCCAGTTGGTCTGACGTCATAGCCTCGAAACACGAATCTTTAGCTTGTCAGTTTGACGCCATAGCTTCGAAACATGAATCTTTAGCCAGTCGGTTCGACGCCATAGCTTCGAAACACGAATCTTTAGCCAGTCGGTCTGACGTCATAGCCTCGAACCACGAATCGTTAGCCAGTCAGTCCGACGCAATATCTGCGTAAATTTATTTTATTTTTAAAATCGAATAGATACGATTACTGGAGATCATCGAAATACACCACCCCACATTGACTGCTCAGATATGAACTGCACATGCGCACACCAATACGGGAATGGAAAAAAAAATTAATAGGTGTTTTATGTAGGGTGTTACAAAGGGTACTCAGTACAACTTTAGAAATAAACACTACTGGGGTCTAAGTGGTCGACAGCTCCGATGAAACATTCGCAGAAGGTGCCAGACACATAGGATCTCGTTTTGCCCCAGTGGTGGTGGGGGACGTCATAGTGGTCCGAAATAGGTAACCCGCCTCTTACTATGTAAGGTTTAAACTAAGCAGCTACCCCTTTGGCGTTCATAGGGTAGCCATTAGGGCGAAACATTTCTGGGGAGCTGCTTTCTGGCATCTCCCCTCCATTAAATGAGGGGAGATTCTGCGAATTTGGGCTGTCCGGGGTTGGGGGGGGGGGACATAAGGGCTTCGGCTCAGGTTGCTAACATCATTTCCTATGAACGTTTTTCAGTAGCTGATTCCCTTCGACGTTTCCATCGACGTTTCCCTCATACTACTTAAACTACTTAAAAAACTTCCCCATGCACTAGCCTTTTGGCAGTGCTGCACACACTCTGAATTAAACTTTTTTTTTTTTTTTTTTCTCCAGCCCTCCTTGTGGCCACCCTGTTTATGTTTAAGAACCCCTGCTCTAACCCAACTACACGTAAAAGTAATAAATGAAAGTTTTCTTCGTACTGACATTTAAAATTAAATTCGTTTCATACAAACACAAAACTGTTAATTTATTATATTTTATAACCCTTTATATATAGCCTTTAAAAAAAAATGTGGGAACCTTTTATCTGGTTAGTGTTGCCGTATGCTTTAAATATAAATACCATAACCCTCGGGTGTTTCGAAGCCATACAAATATATAATATTATATGTAATGACATTGAATTTTGAACAGAGTTTTTAAACCCTTTCTATATTCTGTACCTCTATAAATTGTGTTGCTAAATCTCTCATTTCATAATTATTTGAGTAAGTCTCGCACCAGCTGCTAAAGTAAAATTGCAATTATTTTTTTATCGAAAAAATAAGACTTCTAATTTTATTTTTTAAAATAATACAGATCTAGTGAAATCAATCGCAAAAATGACAGAAAAAAAATAAACATTTCCTATTTAAAAATAATATAATGAAATTAATCACAAATAAAACTGTAAAAAAAATTAAACATTTATCATAATAATTACTTGTACTAAGTACATATCATAAGTAAAATTTTTAAGTTCTATATCGTATCATTAAAGCCAATCATCGATGGTTCCACTGTTATTTATCACTTAATCTCGAATCCCCTGTGGTACAGATTTGGAAACCCTGGGCAGAGGGAACTTAATTAAATTGGACTAATGGGAAGTCCAATGTACGCCGAGCGGAAGTTGTTCCTTTCGATATCATTGCACTTTCTTGTTTCACGTCTGCTGGACAACGCTACCGAGTGCAGATACTTTTTTTCACATTGATTTAAGTTACTAGTTTATTAAGCGAAATAAAAATAGGTCATGAAAATGTCACGCCGCAGCTTTACGTCAACTTGTCTTTTCTTTATTATAATGTTTGCATTTGAACGCGTAGCTTGTGTCAAAAAAGAGGTAAAATACTAATCTTAATATAAGTAGTATAAGTCAGTTGAGTCAGTAGTCAGTAGTCAGTCAGTTGACATGAGTCTGGGTTGATTTAAAAATCATCTCAATCCTGTCTTAACTTTACACCCTAACATAATGTAAGCAGGAAACACCATCCATGCCCATCTATGGTCTCCTAAATAAAACTTAATGGCTTCCAACTTATACAGTGTACTACCACCTCCTCATTCCCACAAGTTAGCCCTTTATTCCTTAGAACATTTGACTCTCAGTTTACACCTATTTATTATTTATTAATAGTATTAATTTAATGAAATGGCATCGACTAATCCCCAGAATATAACTTGGGAACCTCTAATCTGTTGACTAAATCTTAACTAAATTTGAAATAATATGATTTAATTTCTGTTGTAGGGTAGGGCTAGTGCTATTCAAATTGGTTGTCCTTCATACACCCTGGCAAAAGATTGAAAATTGATGATAATTAAAAAAGAAAAGCAATAAATGTGACCCCCACTTCTCCCTGTAATCTACTTAAACCCCTGCCAATCTATCAAGCTGAAAAGGTTAAAAGCACTGAACTGGTCTAACTCTAACCCTAGGTCTAAGCATTTATCATGCAGAGATCATGTCACAGCACGGACCATTAACTTTAACACAACTGCTTGTGGATAATATATTTTAATTGATGAATCACTAAATGGATTGTTCTAAATTAAAAATCTACTTCACCACTGCAACAAATCTTCTTTCTACTATTTAATTTGTAAATTATGTACCAGTGCCCATCCATGTTCTACCCTAATTTCAATGAAAACCCGATTTTTAAGTGCATGATGCTTTTAGTTGAATACACCATTGATTCACTATTTCTTTTCAACAGGTTGAAGCAACAGAGTTCATTCTAAAAGAGATGAAATCATTTGAAAAAGTAACTTGCCCTATACAAAAGCTCACAAAAACAAAAGTATACAATATGTGGTTGAAGGATCAGGTATTTTTTTTTTTTTTTTTAACAAAGAGTGTTAGATTAAAAGTCTTTTCATAAAATATTGTAAAGGAAAACATATGCTGTTTAAAACTTCAAAACATTGATAAATATTATATGCAGCACTAAAACTATACAGAAATAAATGTTTTATTCATTAAATTTCCTCAGGCGTCCAATGAGGTGCTGCTTTGTATCCTGAAATTCTTGGAAGTTAATTCAGCTGAGGGAATCATGTGGTCGATTCTGGGAATGTCATATGATAAGAGTAATCAGAAACAGGAAGGAGATTATTGTTTCAAACAGTCTTTGAAACTGAGTGGAAAGCACACACAGTTCATCAACGAATGGCATTTTGTTGGACCATTTGGTGTTGGCAAAACAGAATTTGATGGGGATCCACTTGCAGCTTATGGCGGGATTAGAAATGTTTCTAAGTTTAGATTGGAAACCAAATCTACTGCAAGTTATTATTCTGAGCTAGTTTCTAGTGGTGTTACATCTTGGGCTGTGGTAAAACAAAATCAGGCTGATGATATGGTGCAAGTGCGAACAAAGGTGGACTGGAATGATCTGGTCAGCTCGTTAGGCTCTTTAGGCATCACAGAATGGCAAGGCTGGGCTGTCGGTGAGCTGTTGGTCAATGAAGATGATGCCCGGCTCTCATTCCACTGTCTTGGTGTGGCTAAATGTTATGTCGGTCAATCTATCATCGTTGGAGATCTTTATCACAGGAGTCAGTTCTGGTTTCCTCTTACATTGCCCAGAGGAGTTCACACCGTGTTTATACCATTACGATCCAAAGTCAATGCAAACTTTAAATTTTCTCTAGCAAAATTGCCTAACTTTAAGATCATGCAACCTTCTTTCTTACCAGACATTCAAAATGGTTATCTTCCGTTTAACGTTTACATATCCATACCAGTTTCTAATCTGATGGTGAAAAAATGGCTCAAAGTGACCAAAGTAAGCATAGAAGGTCAGTCTATTGGTGAAGCACTTGCAACGTCTCTGGTGAACTCAGATAATGACATCGCTCCAGGTCAGGTCAAATTTATTGCCATCAGACTAAGTTTAAAAGTAAAAGGTGAAAATTCTCAAATTTTACCAAAGTGTAAAGATGTGGATGTAGATCTGAAGATTAAAACATCAGAAGGAGTGGAACTCTTGAAATTGGTTTTGAGATGTAGGAACAAAGGAAGCTCTTTTCTTTTCACATTTCTGGACCATGACGGGTCAGTTCAGCATGCTGCAGCAATTGAACCCATCGGTGTCTGTCCCGCCAAACTGTGCCCGGTGGTTCTCACCCTGCATGGAACGTCAGTGCCTCCCCAGAATCAAGCTGACAGCTACAAAAGAATGGTCAAAGGTGATTTCCAGTTTGGCATACGTAATATGTGGCTCTTGGCTCCTACTAGGTACCATGCTTTTTATAGTTGGGGCCTTTTGCCTAATTTTTTACATAATCTCCATTTATTTTAATAGTTAAAATTAGTTAAAATGTTTTTCCTTGGCTGATTGGTTCTTTAAAATACTTTTTAAAAAATTATTTCGTTAAATTTAAAGATATGCATTTTAAATTTCAATTAAAGGTTTAGATTTAATCATTGAATTATTGACTAGATCTATAACTTTGCCGTACCAGTAACAGTTTCGATGAAAAACAGGGGAACACTGTGTCAGTCATTTTTAAGGTGCTAATAACCTGATAATGTCTGATCATCTCTGTCACCATTGAAACAATTGAAATATTGACCAAAAACATATACTTTGTTACTAAAAGTAAGTACACATATAAAAATGCTTTTAAAAATGGGTGCTAACTCATGGAACATATCAAGTAGGTATATGCATCAATGTCATCAATCATATTTTTCTTTTAGATGCTGAGCTAGATTAGTTATTAATTTCATTAGATTCTCTCCTCTAATAATCAGCTAAGTAATATGCTATGATGATTATATTTACTTTCTTCCTCTCAGACATGGTGCACACAATTGGGAGGGCCCTGGGGCTCTGACTGCTATGACCTCCCTGCAAGCTCTTCATGAAATGACCAAACAATCAAGTTGGTTTGAAATGCAAGCAGATCCTAACAAAGTTCTATTTGCAGGTCTGTCATCTTCTAACATCATCAATTTATCTCCCAAGAAATTCGAATCATTTTTAGTGTTAAGAAATCAGTGTTAAGAATCAGCTCTATCCTAGTACATTCCATGATCTTCTTAAATAGATATAATATGACTACAACTGTTTTGTTGCTTAAATGTTGATATTGCAATGATTTTTAAATAATTAAATCTTTTATAATTCAAAAGGCCACTCAATGGGTGGTCATGGAGCCTGGCATTTAGCTTCACATTTCCCTGACAGGGCCATAGGTCTCATCTCATTGGCTGGATGGATGAAGAAGGAGGAGTATGGGGATAGCAATTTGTTTTTTAGGTGTGTTTGTTCATTTTGTCATATCATCCATTAAAATATGGCAAATCAATTTATTTTATTTTATGAGGATATATGTAATATTTCTGATAACATAGCAACTTTTTATTCTATCCCGCCATCTCCAGGGATTCTTCATTACATAAACTGTCAAGCAGAATTATGCAAAAGCTATGTAATAATATTGCAATATTAATTAATCTGTTATTTAAGATAAGATGAGATTATTTAATTATCCAAAAAATGGATTTTTTTTTATAATACATTGTACATATTCATTTTCAGCACACAAATAAATATAGGTACATATTTAAACCAAGGCAACATTTTACAATTATAACAATTTAAATACAAGACATCTGAAGTATTTCTCTAGTGGAGAAATCAGCCACAAATGAACTCCTTTAGTGACAATAATGAGATTCCACATAACAAGAATCTATACTCTTTAGAGCTCAAAATTTATTAATGAATCCTGCTCTGCCAATGTTTCAGTCATGATATAGCCACAAGTCACACAGATCCCTCTGTGAAAGCCATCATGGAAGCTTGTATTGGGGAAAATGATGCAGACAAGCATGTTGCTAATCTCAAGGTGTGGTAATGTTTTAAGGAGAGGCATTCAACTAAATCATTCACAGTAACCGTTAACATTTGAAATTAAAAATGTTTTTCAATTTGTGACTTATTATTTTGTAATTAGACCAAGAGCGTGCTCAATCAAATTTAAATTTCTTCTAGGGCATTCCTGTTTTGGCAAGGATAGGAAGTAACGATCGCACAGTCCATCCGTACTATGTTCGCCGTATGGTCAGGCTTTTGAAAGAAGCAGATGTCAATGTGGTGTATTCAGAGCTGCCTAACTTGGAGCACTGGTGGTGGGACACAATGTGTGTATTTATTTCCAAAATGTGTCACTTTTATTTACATTCCCTTTGCTGATTATTACTCTAGGCTATCACACTTTAAATAAAACAGCAACAGCTCATGTCCTAAAATTTGTGAAAATTATGTTATTTACTCTACAGAACATTTTGGGGCGGGGGGGGGATTATGCTTGTAATTAGTTTTTGTAGTGTTGCGTTTGTTTTAAATGTGGTAAATTATAGATTTTTTACTCTTGTACCGCGCTTCGAGCCTTTGGGGATGAAGCGTGTTTTTGAAATACACTTTATTATTATTATTATTTATTATGAATGGCCACACATTACAAATTAATATTTAAATATAAATATGTTGTTTTAACAGACAGCAGAGTCGTTCTTAGGAGGTTGGGGGCCCTAAGCATGGAGCGTAGGTTGGGGGCCCCGGAAGGGGGAGTCCGGGGGTGGAGCTCCCTCAAGCTGAGGAGAAAACACCACCCACCACTGCGGCACCTCCATTCTGCCTTCATCAATGTTTCCTCTTTGCTCGCGTGTAACCACTAACCATAGTGATAATTCCGCCACTAGAGAAAATGTGTACTTCTGAAATATATGGCATGCAGGTGGTAGTGGGGCCCTAGGCGGTTAGTGCCAGTTAAAAAAAAAACGGGGGATCGAGGGCGCCTCATGGGGGGCCCCCTCATGTTTGGGGCCCTACGTGGATGCGTAGTCAGCGTATGCCTAAGAACGGGCCTGCAGACAGTTTTAATACTTCACTTTTGATACATACATATTAGGAATATTTTTTTTTAAAAACTTTTAACGAAACAGTTATGTTAAAAAAAACAATTTTAAACTGAACTGTCAAAAAAAGTTTCAAAAAAAAAAATTTGGTCTGTCACTGAATTGGTGTGGACAAATTCTTGACTTAAATGGAATCTGGTTACTGTTGCACACCATTCAATAAATTAAATTGGAATTCCAAATTTTCTTATTGGCCTTAATTCAGACTATTAGTGTGTCAATGTAATTTTTTAGGTTAACATATAGAACTTTTTAAGAGAAATTATAAAAAAATTATAACAAAGTAAAACATTTTACTAAACAAGACTTTTATAAAATGATGTATTTCCACTGTATTTTCAAATTTAGTTAACTGTTTAACTACCAGATTGAAAAATCCGCGGTCGCTGTATTAAATCTAGGTCATATTTTCTCATTTTAGCTGTATGTAAAAATTCAGCTGCAGTTTTATTAATTATAAACATATTCTTATGATTAAAAAAACATTTTGTAGGTAATTGAATCATCTATAAGATAAGCATAAAATATTTGTAAAGTTAAGTTTTGTTAGGAAATTATTAATTGTTAAATTAGTATTTGCAACAGAAAAACAATTTAAAAATGTATAAATGTGCAAACTTAGGTATAAATTTTAAATTTCCAAATCATTTAAAGCCTTTTATTTGGTGGTTTCCAAATATTATATCCAATAATAAGAAAAATGCACAAAAGAACACAGATATTGAATAATATTTACATTTCCAATCACTTATATGCCTTTAGTCACCCTGTCCTTTCTTGCCATGGTAAACAAGTAGTTCAATTTTGTAACTAGCTTGGATATTAAAAAAAATAAATCAACAAGCTCGTTTTTTATAACTTTCTGCTGATAAGCATGCAGTTCAAATATAAACATCATGTCGGTAAATAAAAATCTGGAAACAAAACGGGAATGGAATAATATAAATATTTGACTATTTAATACGATACAAACATTGTCGCTACCAGCGGCTGGTGGCCATAACGGAAGAAACGCCACGCCGCTCCCACCGGCTCATGGTAGTTAACCAGTTAATTCAAATGTTGCCAAGAATGGGATTTAAGTTAAAATGTGAATTAAGTATTTCAAATGCCTTCATACTTATTAAATTCATTGATTAAAGAAAAAAAAATGAATTTCTTAAATTTCCACAGAGACACCAATGATGGTGGATGTGTCAATGATGCCCAAGTTCGCAAGTTTATTGCCCAAGTTTATGCCTCCCTGACTCCCACTGAGACAGAATTCTGCTCTAAAGATGCCAGTGATTGTGATGGTCCAGCAAATAACAATCCTCAGCAACAGCAGGAAATCTTCACTCTTGTAACTGTTAACCCAGCATTTGGTGAGGGCTTACGAGGTATCAGAGTCTTACAGCAGATGATTCCTCTCAGAACTAGTACTGTTAAGGTAGGTCAGGAGATGTGCACTATAGAATATTTCGTAATAAAGCCATGCAGAGTATTTAAACCGAACACTACATCAAGTGTAGCACATTGCACTGAACAGTTGGTGACTGCCTTTCACTTTATGTTATAGAGACTTTGCCAGTAAAGTTGTTCCTGTATGGTGCATTTATTTTGTCAAAGATTACATTCATGTTTCCTACTTCTATATTGGCTTCCTCTTTTATCCCTGGTTAAAGAACAGAGTCCAGCATTTTTTATTCTTAACTATTATATATCTGGATGTAATTGGAAATAGTTTCTCAATAAATATAATAAATATATTAAAAAACAATGGTTGTCACAATAAGATAAAAGACTACCAAATTTCCATTTTAAAAAATTTAAAAAGTGGTGCTGAAAGTTTTATGGCTATCTCTTTTTTTAATATTCTATTTGCAGGTAAATGTTACATCTACCAAATTGGTACTTGCAACCCAAAATGTCCAATGTCTTCAAATAATGAAAGGTGTTCCCAATAGAGGTCTAAACCTTGGGGCTTTACAGACCATTGTTGTAAGTATTTTATCTTAATGGCTGAAAGAATGGGATCAGCAGAGCTTGTCTGTTCACCTTTTGTAACTTGTGATGAAACAATATTGAAGGGCGGAGGGCTTTCTCTGTTGGTAGTGCATTATCAAACTTGGAATACAAATGAATTTCTTTGGGAAAAGTCAAATTAAGAAAGTGGATTTTATTATTTGCAGATAGATGGAAGCACTGTTGTTTTAGAGACAAAAGACTTTCCACAATCATATTGCGTGTGAGTTAAATTTAATATTTTACACCTATCCCAAGTTTTATTTTATACTTGGTTAAAACCAACTTTATTTTGTAAAGCTCTTAATTATTTTATGATACATGTGCTCTCAGTAATTAGATTAACAATTTTTTATTTTTTTTTTAACATCTAAGACCATAAGAATACAGTTTCAGGGTTTGAATAAAGTGATGCTCATTAAATTTTATAACATGAAATTATTTGTTTTTAAGTTTGTATCAATTACACGTCATTCTCATTACAACTGTTTTTTGTCCAAATGTTTGTCTATATCAGTGTTCCCCGAATGGTGGTCTGTGGACGAGTACCAGTCCTCGAGCTTTGCGTTGTTGATTCGCATAACATGAATATTTATGGTGAAATTAAAAGAAAATATAATCAATAAATCCTGCAATGTTCCCTGGTACAATTTTGAAATTTGTCCAAGGATCCATCAATTGTAAAAAATTTGGGGAACCCTGGCCTATAGTAATGAAATTATTTTCACGAAAAATGAATTTTGTCTTGCTTCCCACACTTGACATAGAATGACATCACCCACTGGTCCTCAGTGGCATTTATCTTCTCACGCACAGTCTGGACTGGTAAGACAACTACACAACTATGGTCCAGTCAGAAGAATAGCAGAACAAAATTTTATTACTGTCATAGGTTAGTATGTTCTTTTCATTGAATTGGTACAAATACATCATAATACATTACTTATAATTAATTACTAAATAATTTTTATAACACTATACAAAATAACATTATAAATAATTAATAAGCCAATCTGCAAATAGGTGCAATATAATACAAAGCTCTGTGAATGAAATCATGAAAGTAATAAATTTAATGAATTAAACTTGACAAAATATTGAGGGATCAAAATGATCACCAAATATGCCATTTGTTTTAAGCTTTTGGAATGTCATTTGCATGATTGAGAAAATTTAGTAAATAACTCATTATTAAATTCGAGATTATTATTTAATGTCCTATGGGTCAAGTTTATCGTTTTCCACTAATTAAGAATGTATTACAAATCATCCATAATTTTTAGTACAATTTGGATTAATCCTATTACTTATGAGACAAGTTACATCACATATCTATTTATTGTGTTTTAGGAACTCAGGGAGATGATATCACTTCTGAGTTATTATTGAGGCATGCAGTTTACATAGCCAACCAGTTCTTCCTAACATCTGACACCACAGTCTCCATTGTAGAGGACAGAAATATTATTGATACTGATCTAGGTGACACAGATAGTTATAATTTGTTTTGAATCCAATCTTTAACATATTTTATAAATCACATTTTGTTTTGTTAGTACAAACCATTAGGGGGCCATTTATAAATAATGTCACGTGTTGGGGTGGTGAGGGGATAGTTGTCACATTTTGTGACATAGGGGAGGGAGTAGCAATGGCCGCAAATGTAATTTATTTTCTGGGCCTTCCGCACAGGGTGCAGAGGTTTGTAACGTTATATTTGAGGGGGGTGGGGGTCTAACTTTTTGTGACGATGGGGAGTTATCAGGAAAATTTGCATGACGTCATTTATGGATGACCCCTAGTAAATGCTATATTTGAAATTCTCATAATTAGTTTATCCTCTTATGACCTTAAAGTCAAATTTTAATTCAAATTTTTTTCTCTCTACTTTCAGATGGTATGAATTTGATCATTTTAGGTACACCAACAGAAAACTTGCTGTCCAATAAATATTTGAGTTACCTACAAGATTTGGCATTTAACATTGAAAATGGTACTTTATTGTTAGATTGTTTTTATTTGTTAAAAAAATTCCTGCAGATAACCCTAATTTTGCTGAATCTTCTTTTTTCTTATCTTATATCTTATTACTCCCCTTTCAATTCAATTTAAATTCTCATTAGTTTAGTGGTGCTCAACCCTTTTATGACCACCACCACTTTATAAAAATTATTTCTTTATGTCACCTTGTAAATAATAAGCTCTGCCAGTCTCCCATGCTCATCACTGTATATATAAAAAAATATATAGCAAAAGTGTAAAATTCACCAGGTGCAAAGGAGTTTGATGAAACTTTATCACAAGTTTAGCCCCTTTCTTTTGCCTTACAAAACTAAGTCTCAGAGATTTTACGTTCCCCATTTTGTTGCAGGAACATCTGATTTATATCTTAGCCTTGGTAATTATTGTACCTACAAGTCACATAGAACAGGATTGTTGACCCTTGCCCCTCATGAACGCGGCTTAGCCCTTGTCTTGATGGGACTGTCTCACCAAGGCATGGCGGATATTGTCAACTTGGCCACACCAACTATACCACCTATGGCTCGATCTCCAGTAAGTCAGCTTGTTCATTTGTTTTTCCTCACAGGACAGCTCTTTTTTGTAATCTTTGCACTTCCTCTCAGAAAGCAAATACTATATTTGTATTTTGGCATAAAAGCAACACTAAATGTAACTAGTGTGAGCAGGAAACACCAGGGCCATTTTAATACACAGAAAGTTTTACAAAATGTTTTTGTAAAAAATCCTAATTTCACACTGACATGTTATATTTTTTTGTTGTTGTCTTGTTCCAGTTCTCCAACTTGTTACCTGATTTTGTCATTACTGGCCCTGATTTTGAGTTGAAAGGACCAGGAGGTTTTCTATGCATTGGTTTCTGGGATAATAACTGGAGGTTATCAGCAAACTCAGCTTCATGTACATGTGATGTATCATAACATAACATATGTTTAGGCCCATTAAATTTTATGGTTCTGTTTTAGTTGTTATTTCATAGTTGTGAGTTTGAAATTTAAATAATTTCTTTTAATATCAAGGTCTATTTCTTGATACAAAATGATAAAACATTTTTTTGATATTTTAGTAAAGCTGGACATTTTTTGCTTGATTTCTACTCTAAACATAATTTGTTTAGCACAGATACATATCTGTTTTATTATCTGTAAAAGTAATTAGTCTCTTCAACTACCCAACTCAACTACATTACAATTCCTTCTTACAATCAATCTTCATAGAGTTAAAGTTAACATTAAATAATTCAGTTTATACTGTGTTATGCAACAAACGAGCGTTAAAAAAAGATATCTTGTAGAAAATGTCCAAATTTATTACAAAAGCATTTATTGGTTACATAATTTAAAATTTCAGTTGACTTTTAAAGAATATTTTTTAAAATTTTGGAGTAATTTCATGTTGGTAACCTTTATTCTGTAGAGAAATCTCTACTATACAAGCTTCAGAAAAAAGAAAAACAATATTTTCTTTAAAGTTTTAAACAACATATATTGATGTTTACATGATTTGTAACTGGAAATCTTATAGGTTATTTTCATAATAGGGATTGGATATTCAATTTTAAAATATTGTTTTAACATAAAAATTGCTGTATTTTCAATACAATATATATATGCCACATTTTATGTAAGTTTTAACTTTTACAGTTAGAAATTATTAAATGATTGTCACAATCTTCCTAAAAAAAATGTTCTTATATTTTGAAAGTGTTTGTAACATAATGATATTTTGATTTTCATTTACTGCTGAGCGGAAAATCAATATTTCATGAAGTGTAGTTATAGGCCTACATACATATAATAGAAAGTAAGGAACTACTTGAGCGGCCATTTTATAATGGATGAAAAAGCAGTTAGGAAGATTCTGTCTCACTGAGTAAAGAAAGACAATATGTATGAGTGACTACATGTGTTATTTTCTAAGCAGAAATTGTTGTTTTATAAGCTGTGTTCAGTCATCATAGTATTCATAGTGAATTTAATTGTGATGTGTAGTGTTTATGTAAATAAAGAATTGATATATGTGAAGGCTTGGACTTTGTGTTAGTCCATGGGCATGTGAGATATAATAACGTAGTTAACCCCTACCTGATAATCACTGAGATATCCACTCAGGTCATAACAAGTTATAATAGTAACAGTGATATCATAATAGAGAAATGGTCAAAGTGTTCAAATGACAACATGAAATGTAAGCATTTTTTATAGCCTTTTTATACCATTGATCATTTTTACCTCAAATGTCCAATTATAAAAAACACAAAATTTTAATATTTATGTAGCATAGCCAAATTTATTTTGATTGTGCTTAAAAATTCTTAACTTAAAATATTGTCAATAACTCCGCCATAGCCGGTCCCAAGCCTGGGTGAGAAAGGAGGAGGGTTGGCTGTAAAAAAAGCCCTGCTACAAAAACACAAACAAAGATTTCAAAAGGAAACTCGGACCTTGGAAAGGATGGGTCTCCTAACTGAGAATTAATGAAGCTGGGTGGCCAAAGCCAACTGGAAACCAACCGACGGACAACCATCCTCTCCACTAGGACCACCACCAGTCTAGGAACATGGAACATAAGGACAACCATCCTCTCCACTAGGACCACCACCAGTTAGGAACATGGAACGTAAGGACCATGTTCGAAACTGAAAAAATTGTCCAAGTTGCTGCTGAAATGCAGAGATACACTTGGAGAAGGGAACTGGAGGCAGACACCAAAAAGAGTGGGCACAACTGGGGACAGTTGGAGAGACTTGCCCAAGACCGGGATGCCTAGAGAGCTTTTGTTTGTGGCCTATGCCCCAGACGGGACGACAGGCGATGATGATGATGATGACATTTTTATCTTAATGGACCATTTTAGGGACTGTGGTTACTTATATTTTTTTATGCTAGTTTCAGTGATTTCCCTTATGTTAGGGTGTATTAGAAAGAGATTCAATTTTCTTAATTGATTATTTATTTTAAAATATTTATTTCACATTTGAGTTGATTTTGGGATGAAGGCACTTTTTAAAACAGCTGGGTGTCTGCTTGGACACAAAAATCCAAAGAAATATCTGAGAATAAGTTTGTGTTCTGAAGAAGGACAGAGCCTTGATGGGCTGTAGCACCAATGATGATGATATGTAATTATTTAAATACAAACATTTCAAAAATGATTCATTGGATTTTCTGTTTAGTTCATAGTTCCAGGTAAAAAAGATGTTTGAACATTTTTGCTCAGCATATCATACTTTATCTGAACATTTTTATCCCTCTATCATTTTGATGGGTCCTGCCTATAAAAAATATAACAATTAAAAAGTTCTACTCAAATGCAAAGTTCCTGTGACTGTGAAGTAAAATAAATTGTTTGAAAAAATAAGGTCTCACAAAATTAATAGGAATATATTTTTAACAGAAAATAAAACATTGCATGACAAAAAAGGATTTACAAAAAAAGACAATAAAATAAAACAGGCTACATTTTTTTTTATTGTTTGTAAAATAACAAATATTTATAAAATTTGATGAATAAATGGACGATTTTAATGAATACAACAAAATGCTTTGTTTAAATATGACTAATTTTGCAGTAGTAGAAACAAGAGTAAATCATTTAAATAGAACAAAAAATTCAGAAAAATATGTAATCTCTAATGTATGAGTACAGCTCATCCCTAAAGTCTTTAAACCTTGGAAATATCACTAACTATAACTGTATTTTGCATCAGATTCCTGTTTATCTTGACAAGCCCATAGAACTTTGCACCATGAATGGTAGAAAGTATATGGAAGATTTTAAGTAATAAATTAAATAAAATGTTGAAAAATCTATATTAAATATAAATTTACCCTATGTATCCAGTATGAAAAGAAACGCTGTAGTATTAATTTGTTTGATACTGTGGCTAAAAGTTACGTTTCAATGCCTAATCTCTAAATGGATATGTTCACAATAAGTTACAATGAATTAAGAATTGGAAACCAACAATTTAATCTGTAAAAGACTTACATCTTATTTTAATTAGAAAAAGATTTGAATTTTAGATTCTCATGTAATATTCAAATTATGTCCAATATAATTTATTACAAAGAAACAGCTTGGAAGTTGTGTGAGATTTAGTTTTAAAATGTATGCAAATGCAAGTGGAAGTATCAACACTCATCTTTCACTTACCTAAATAGATTTAAATTTTTCTACATGAAAATTATTTTAAATGTTTTTATCAGAACCAGATGTGTGTTAACTGTCTGCTCTCAACTTTTATAAACTGGGCTTCAGATGTTTTCAACTTCAATTAATAGCAATTACTTTTTTTTTCACATGATGATAAATTATAAAAGAGAGGGTTGTTAAAACTTACAAGACTCAAATATTAGTTTTGAAACTTTGTGGGTTTTTTTTCCACAAATCCTTAATTATGGAAAAACAATAGAAAACACATTATTGATAAAACAAAAATAATAAAAAGCTTGTTAATGTTTTTTGTGCACTTAATTGTGCATTTGATGAGCTGTTGCAAAAAATTGTTCTGGCCAACTTAAAAAAAGGGTAACATAAAGATTTCTTTAAAAAAGGAAAATTGACACAAAATTATAATTCTTTAGTGATTTTTTAAAATATTTTAAATAAGTCGGAAAAAATAAACAAGTCAACATACACTACACTGTCCTTTCTTTTGACCTCTCTCTCTCTCACCCTCTCTCTCTCTCCCCCCCCCTCTCTCTCTCTCTCTCTCTCTCCCTTACTCTAATCTAACCTCACTCTCATTTCTCTCTCTCTCCCTCACTTTCCCCACATCTTTGTGGTCCCTAATATTTATTGTCAGCCAGCTTTTGTTTTAAAATCAACATGTTAGATAATTCATATTATTATTATTAATAAGAAAAGGAGGAAAAAATATTTAATATCGGCAAGAAATTGTGGAATAAAAGCTTTTGAGCAATAATGGTTGAAAATCTTTATTCCAAAAATTTAAAAAATGCAAAAAAATATCAAATGGTGTCTTTTCTTTGAAAATTTTTAATTCGTTGGCAGTAAAACGGGTTTTAAAATGCTAGGTAGAATCATAATGCAACAGCCAAGGCCAGAGTACTAAAAGAGCAATTAAGAGATATTATCTTCATGCTTTCAATCCAAATGAAGGACAAGGTAGTTTACAAAACGAATTGGCTATTCGCACCCCGTTACCAGAAGTGAGAGGTTGGGATTCAAAAAATATTTAAAATATTATTGTTGGGTTTGTAAGACAAAATGAGGTACCAAATGAAATGAAAGATAATTGAATGGACTGTGTGTTTGTAGACTTACTTCTTCAGTTTAACTAAAGTAAACTACCACAAATGACATCCGAATAGCATTTAGTCAAAATGGACCCAGACACACAGCGGCGCCATTCGCACACGGGTCCCATTAGACCAGGGCTGTCAAACTCAATCGCTCGCCGGGCCAAAACTCAAATCACATGTAAGTTGTAAGGTTGCGGGCCAAACATGATAAATATTCAATTATCGGAAAATTAATCTTTTTTAAAAAACACTTATGTAAATGAAAACAGAAAAACGTTTTAACAATTAAAAATCATTGGCATACCCATTTTCGCTCTTATGCCCATTTGTCAGAGCTGAATGTTTGGAACATTTTCTTAGCAACAAAAACAATTAAGTTCGTTTATTTTGGGAGTGTCATTGATATTCTCATGATGGACTGAAAGTTTTCATCGGTGAGACGACTCCTTTGTATTGTTTTGTTAATGTTCATCACAGAAAACAGCTGCTCACACATATATGTGCTAAAGGTTCGAGCCGCACGTAGACGAAGCTGGAGCATCTCTTCAGGAATGAAACAAGTGAACTGTGCAGGCCCAACTGTGTCCTAATTTGCCGATAGTGTCCCATTACACTGCACCTCTATTAGCTCCATCTGCAAATTTACAGGTGCAATTTCCACGTCTATGACAAATGGGTTACGGAACAACTTGAAATTACATTTTTGTGCTTCAAAGTCTTTAAAGTGCCGTGCGAACTCGGCGCGAAGTAAGCTAAGTTTTCCTGCAAAATGTGAATTGGGAAACATCATTGCTTTGACTTGGATATAATTATACGCGGTCAAGACCTCGCGGACCTGATACAATTGTATGGCTGGCCGGATGTGGCCCGAGGGCCTTGAGTTTGACACATGCGCATTAGACCAATGCTATTCGGATGCCATTTGTCCTAGTTTATTTTAGTTCAACTGAAGAAGTAAGTTTACAAACATATAGTCCACTCAATTATCTTCTATTTGATATCTCATTTCGTCTTAAAAACCCAACAATAATGTTTTAAATAGTTTTTTAATCCCAACCTCTCACTTCTGGTACCCGGGTGCGAATAGTCTCAGCCTTCACAAAATGTTTTCAGATGAAAGACAATACGTATGTGTTAGTGATTTGTACAAAAATCTTACACTCTTCATCCCTTTTCTTACATCCAACTAACAGAACGTGCTCTTTTTGATTAAAAAAATACTGAACATGTATGCTAAACAATTTATAAACTTGGTTCGGATTGTTGAAGCGCTGTTTGGAGGATCAAGACTTGTGTTGCTCTTTTCTTCTCTAGATTAACATAGAAAAAAAAAAGAAAGCAAATTAAATTCCTTGAACCTCATTATACCAGGCGTGCTGAGATCAGTTAAGCCTACATTAATCAATACATAGAACTGATTAAACTAATTAACAGGTAAGTCTCTTACCTGATGATGCATGTTTTGTTGTAATGGAAGTCGTATGGAGTGAATGAGTTAGGTGGGCATCCCCTGAGGAAAAAAAAAGATAGTTTATAAAGCACTAGCGAGTACCCGGCATGCGTTGCAATGCCACTCAAAGAAAGAAAGTGTTTGCATGTTAATTATGTTTCTTCAAGAGCTTTTAAATACTCAAAGTTTTTTCTTGTTTTTCAATCTGGTATATACACGAATAAATCAGAAAATTTTCCGACGCAAGAGCAGGCCACATACATCTGTCCATGGGCGAAGCATGGGTTTTCCAAATTTAGTCCGCAAACTTGTAGCGATTGTCCTTGTGCTTTGTAGATAGTCATTGTAGACGCGTGTCGCATCGGAAACTGTAGGCGTTTGAATTTAAATGGCATATCTGTTGGAATCATTGGGGTGAATGGCAAAAGTACATCACCTAGTTTAAATTTTCCATTTAAAATAGTAACTTTAATGGAACCAATTTCGGAAGATTCATTTGAACAAATGTACCGTACCTAATGCTTCGATATCAAAGTGCGTTTCTCGTTCCAAATCAAGAGCGAAAAGTTTGTTTGCAGATCGATTCCGACAGGTCATTCCCAACTCATGAATCATCAATCAATATGAATAGTATTTCATGGCACTGTCTTTCTTATTCGAATTTCTCAATTTGATGTCAAAATGATATCCATCTTCTCCTTGCCAAAATAAAATAGGATATTGCAATCAAACGTATGAGCGATGAGTTTCTGAGACTCGCTGAACATCAACACTTCTGCGATGAAGAATTATATCACTTGAGTTAAATTCTTTGCCAACTATAATGATCGCCACTTCATCAATTGTTGGTGCATTGTATTGTCTTTCATGTTGGCCGACAGGTCTGCTCTAACTATGACTTTGTATTCATCAGTCGGCATCTTTTCAAGTGCAACTCTATACATTTGAATTAATTCGTTGTGTTGCAAAAATAACGTTTGCATTGCAGCGACAATTTCTCGTTTAGTGCCCGTATTGATATGACAACGCTGATCGATTTGCTCATCAGTATTCCCCATGATATCATTTGAAGACATTTGTGATCTGTGTTTGGCATTGGCATCAGAGATCCTACACGATGGTAAATTTAGCCTTTCACTTTACTTTAAATGTTGGCATGTAATTCTCGCGCACGATATTTGTTGCACCGAACGATGTCATTTGGAAACATGAATTGCATTTGCGTATGTTTGCCAAGAAATGTTTCGATTGGCTATTGTCACCTGATACCAACAATGATAATGGTTTTGATGGTGAATGTAATTCTCACACGTTAGGATCTCCCATCTTTTTACATGAAAACCTCGCACAATAGGTACGTTCATTGTTGGCAGGAGATTTCCAGTTGTATAGTTTCTCATTAATTTATAAATCGTAAATTCCAGCGGTAAAAAATGACCATAGTTCAATATCTACGCTGTCAAGTGTGTTATTTAATTACTTGAGAAACCATCGATTGGTGTAAAATGTATTTACATAACACAAAACAACTCCGAAATTATAAGACTCTATTCAAGAAATACTCTTAGTTGAAAAAAAAAACGCGATTTCGATGTCATTTCCGATTCTAAAATGCGTCACAAAATTCAAGCTTATTTATACAAATAACAAAAATACTCTCTACACTAAAAATGTAAAAACGTGTTTTCTCTGCTTTACTACAAATGTGTCATTTGTTCAAGGGCGGTAGTGTTGATATCTTCGTTATAAATTATATTGATGAAGCTCATTTAAGAAAATAAATTGAATTTAGGGTCCCCAGCCCTAATTGGAATATTGTACAATGGATGTACTAAATTTGAAAAATTTGCCGGCGGATTCAGCTACTTCCACACATGCAATAGCTCTGTTTGAAATTATAGTTACAAAGCTCTTAGAAGAAAATATGAAATTAGGGTCACTGGCCCAAACGGAATATTGTAAAATGTTTTTTTCTAATTTAGAAACATTTTCGGTAGTGCGCATTTCACTTGACCCAGTTTGATCACAATCGAATGAATGGTATAGAAATGCATACTATAATTATATAGATAATAGAAGTGTGGAAAACGAATTTAGGACCCCCCTCCACAAATGGAATATTGTAGAATTGTTGTATTACTTCAGAAACCTACTTAATATGTCACACACTCAATTTAATATCACTATTTGTATTTGATTAAAAAGCTATCCATTCATGCTTTAGCTCTGTTTGAAATTATAGTTGTATAGCTTAAAATTATAGTTGTATAGCTTATATAGAAAAAACGAACATAGGACCCCTGGCTAAAAACGGAGTATTTTAAAATGGTTGTAATCATTTAAGAAACCTTTGCGGGCGGGCGCGCGCACAACATCTCTCTAAAATTTTATCGCATTGTAATAATGTAGAGGAGCGCATACGGAAATTATTTTTTATAAAGCTCCTAATGTACGGAAAAAAACACGAATTTGGGGCGATTGCCAAAAAAAAAAACCGGAATATTTTAGTAGAGTTATAATGGCTTAGAAAAATGCTCTGGCTTATGGACAACAACTCACCTCAGTTTTATCGCAAGCGCTTGAATGATGTAGGAGCGCATGCGGTTTGAAATTATATTTATATAGCTCATTTTGTAAGAAACAAACATAGGGCCCCTGGCTCAACACTGAATATTTTAAAACGGTTGTAGTAATTTAAGAACCTTTGTGGGCGATAGAACAACATCTCACTAAATTTTTATCGCATTCTGAAAAATGGTATAGGAGCGCATAGAAAATTATTTTTTACAAAGCGCATATAAGAAGAAAAAAAGAATTTGGGTCAACGGCCCAAAACGGAATATTTTAAAAGTGTTGTAATGAATGGTTATGTTTATAGATAACAACTCGTCAAAGTTTTGTTGCAATCGCGTGAATGGTGCAGGAGCGCATACGGTTTGAAATTATATTTATATAGCTCGTATAAGAAAAAAAAACGTAAATAAGGCCGCTGGCTAAAATTGGAATATTTTGAAAAGTTTATAATAATTTAAAAACGTTTGCGGCCGTGCTTCAAACATCTCACCAAAGTTTTAAGTTTTATTGCAATCGGATAAATGGCGTAGGAGCGCATATGAAAATTATTTTTTTACAGAGCTCATATAAGAAAAAATACGAATTAAGGGCCAACGGCCGAAAACGGAATATTTTTAAAAGTGTTTAAATAACACAGTAAAATGCACTGGCGCATGGACAACAACTCACTAAGTTTTGTAGCAACCGCATGATTGGTGTAGGAGCGCATACGGTTTGAAAATATATTTATATAGCTCATGTAAGGAAAAACGAATATGAGGCCCCTGGCTCAAAACTGAATACTTTAAAACGGTTGTAATAATTTAGAAACCTTTATGGACATGCTTGCAACATCTCACCAAAGCTTAATCGGAATCGGATAAATGGCGTAGGAGCGTATATGAACATTATTTTTTACGAAGCTCATATTAGAAAAAATACGAATTAAGGGCCAACGGACGAAAACAGAATGTTTTTAAAAGTGTTTAAATAACACAGTAAAATGCACTGGCGCATGGACAACAACTCACTAAGTTTTGTAGCAACCGCATGATTGGTGTAGGAGCGCATACGGTTTGAAAATATATTTATATAGCTCATGTAAGGAAAAACGAATATGAGGCCCCTGGCTCAAAACTGAATACTTTAAAACGGTTGTAATAATTTAGAAACCTTTATGGACATGCTCGCAACATTTCACCAAAGTTTTATATGAATCGGATAAATGGCGTATGAGCGCATGTGGAAAATAATTTTTATAAAGCTCATATTTTAGAAAAAAAAACGAATTAAGGGCCAACGGCTAGGAACCGAACACTTGATAAGGTTTTTAATGACTCAGTTAAATGGCCGGTTATGTGGACAACAACTGACCAAAGTTTTGTCGCAATTGCATGAATGGTGTAGGAGCGCATACGAGACATACAGACATACAAACGATCATTTATATATATATAGATGTAGTGACGTAGATTAATCAGGAGAAAGAATGGGTTCATTGAAAATTCAAGGATCGAATAAAAGAAGTAATAGTATACATTATGTTTCAAATTGTGCTTGACCATGTCATTTTCTAGCACGTGGGGCCGTGTGATCATTCGGTTAAAGATAGTTGTTGAAAAGTGGAACAACAGAAGATAACGCTGAAAAGTAAGAATCAAGAAAGCATGGTACACATCAGCCTAAAGCAGTGGTTGGCAAATCGCGGCTCCTTAACGACCCGAGTGCGACTCGGCCAGTCGGAAACAAACCGGTTTTGACTCCTAAAAAAACATGGTCTTTGACAAGTTCTTGAAAAGAAATTTGGCTCTCAAAAAAATGTAATCGTCCTGCTGCCGATTTTTTGGCTATTTTGCCTAATGAGTTTGCCGACCACTGGCCTAAATTAAATGTGAAATAATGGCAACTTGGTTTTGATGTCTTACATATGAGAATATCTCGTCTATTTTATAGGCTAATAGAATAGTACCACGCTACTTACACACACTCCAGATCGCTCTTTCGTGCTATCACGTAACCCGTCCATTTCTGGTTTCTTGTACAGGTAATAAAATCTGTCCAACCTGTATCTGTTTCACATCTTAAGAAATCATATTGGGTGAAGCACTGCTCCTCGATATTGATGGTCAATAGAGTTGCCTTTCCGAGATCACTGCTGTAAAATATAGAAAATAAATGGCTGAAATTTAACCTAATCATACATTTTCTGAAACGGTCTATTTAAAAATGTGCTTATATATTTTTTTTTAAATTCAAGAATTGCTATACTTTAAGTGTGTGGGGTGAAATGAAATTTAATTTTAATTAAGTAAGTGGCTTTTATAGGAAGATATTCCAATGTTAACCGCGGTGACCTTTAACAATAACAACCCTCAGTATCGAAATTTCAGAGTTACTACTGTTTAAAACAACGAAGTCAGGCCCATCTCAAGGGTGGTAGTCGTTTCAGAACGTCAGAACCACTTTATTATTATTTTTTTTTAAATATTATCCAGTGCACCCTGCCTCACAAAAGTCTTGATTTAACATTGTAAGTATTAGTGATTGCATGATTTTTATCTCTCTTAAATATGATCCTCCTGGAGATTTATAATGAATGTGTTATGTAGCACGATTTCCTGTGCGTGAACTTTCCTTGACCTCGTAGTACACTCCTAGCAGACAGTAACGTCTGTTGCGGGCGTGGCTAAATCTCTTTGATGTATCTTGTTTACAATCGGCTTCCAATTACGCATTGGTAGAATGTCTCCGGGTAACTTCTCAAATGTACTCCTTAACCCGAGATATGTAAACAACACGTCATAGGTCCTTCTGGAAGCGTCTTACGCTACATGTATAAAAAGGATTGACAGATACGAAGGAAGGGAGATTTTTCAGATAGAGTTTCTTAACAATTCGAGGCGTGTTTTATTCTTTGTGTATTTGTGTGCTCATATGTGTTTATTTCGCATTATTTATTGGCACATTATTCTAACTGTGTTAACTGTGTACCGGTACAAGATCTACCATACTGTAAGTTGAAGATTGTAATTATATTTTCTTTTCTTTTGTAATTATCTTTAGACTTAATAAATCTTATTAATTGTGACTAGAAACTGTTTTGGGTCTTATCTTTAATATTGTTGATTCTATGGTATCGTCCTTTGTTAGGCACTGTTTACAACGAGCCAATTAAAATTAAAACAGGAGATTAATTTCTCCCAATACAAGTCAGTGCGTAAAAAAATGATATAATCAGCCAAGGCATCTAGAGGACATGCGTTATTTTGCTTAGAGAAACTGGCAGAGGATGCAGAGGCAACGAGTGAACAAAGAACACGAGGAGTCTTTCAAACTATATGACAGCTGATTGTATAGTTCGTCAGTCGAAATCGACGATGACCACTGTCACAGGTTGACTGTTACGCCATGATGGTCGAAATACTATCCACAGGCTCAATATCGTGAGAAAGTAAGGTAAGTAAGAAGACGAGGTATGGTGGTCCCCTGCGGCTACTAATCACACGAGGGGGGGGGGGTGCATGAATGTGTACACAATTGTCTGTGACATACATCGACATGCCTTGAAGCGTTGGTTCATTGTTGTACGATGACAGGACTTAATTACCATCGGGGTGGACACTGGAGACTGCAAGGCGTCCTGGTTAGAAGTTTGGGGAGGAACGAGGGCATGGGCGCCCGCAGGTAGGGGCAAGAGGGGGCACTTGCCCCCCCTGGATTGATTGGATAAATTTTTTTTAGACAAAAATAGACAAAAAATGTATTAAAGTAAAGAGAAAATAAAGAGAAAGCAACTAAGCTGATGTCCTGTCCGTTCGTTCACCATAAAAATACGCTACAGTAAATTAAAACTATATTAAAACATTACTAACAAATTTTTGCCCATCCCCCCTGGAAAGTTAATCAATTCCCCCCCCCCTTCCTAAAAAGTTTTCTGTGGGCGCCCATGAACGAGGGTATATATATATATCGACACTGAATTTAGAAAATTCACTGACCACCAGTCCACACATGAGACTTCTCTCGTCAGTGTCTGTAAATTTAGATTTAGACCTACCTTGTGCCATTTTCGCCACAGTATCGACATAAAGAGGTAAGTGTATGTAAGGTGTATGAATGTGGTAGTTCAATGGTAGTTCGTGTGTCAGATAGTATGTTATGCACATTCAGTATTCTGGACACGGTGAGTAGTTAGGTATAGGGTTTAGTGTGGATCACGTGGTGTAGGCGATTTCTTCATAAGCTTCAGGAGTAGTCACCCCTTTTGTTTAATTGTTGACACTAGTCAGATAAATCATCACAAGCACGTGGCCATGATTGACAGATGCCAACGCAGAGCGACGACGGGGCTCAAGAAAGAGGCAGTGACAGTCCTTGACCATAGGACAGACCCTTCAGTAGGTGAGAGGCGAAAGTCACACAAGGCTCCACTACAGACAGGTGTAGCGTCTTGCTCGGATTATAAGTCAAATTGCCTGTATTGTTTCTCTGAGAAATTATAGTTATATGACAGCCATTCACGTTTCGTAGTATATATTTTAGGATAGTTCTCAGTTGTAATTTTATGCATATCTCATAGTGTATTTATTGTATATGTCCTATTGTTTCATAAAGTGCGTTAGATAATAAATTAGCCTTCGTTATTTTAAATTAAATTGAGGATTCATTTTGTTTTATTGTATTGTCATTGGGTTGCCTTGGGCACATCAAAAAAGGTGGGGTCAGAGTTATTGTAGAATTTAGACCCAAGTGTCACTTAGCACAAGGGAGCTCGTGACAACCTCCGGAATCATCTTATCTGCTCATTGTGGGTGCACGGGCTGCTAATGAGACCGATTCTGGCACGAAATGTTCTTGTGCAGCAAGCGTAGGGAGTTGATGGGCTTCTCCAGGTGCAGAGTTAACACGTGATTTTCTGGCATGTCTTTTTTTGTGCTCTGCGACCGCTGTTTTGTTGGTTTCATGTTTCTATGGAGCCTTTGGGTACGGAGGAGGGGCGACGATGCTCGATCCTCTACCGCTTCTTCCCATGTGTCCATGTCTATATCGAACGTTTTCAGTGAGGCTTTAAGGGTGTCTTTAAAGGGTTTCTTCTGACCACCAGCAAAACGCCCTCCATGCCCGAGCTCACAAAGAATATTCTTTTGGGCAAGTTGTCGTCTGACATTCGCGAAACATGTCCCGCCCAGCGAAGCTGGGACTGTTTTAAAGTTATAAAGATGCTGGGTGAGACTGCTGATAAGACACAATTAACGGAACTTAAAATTCTCTTTGAAAACATATACTGTTTTATCTGTTTTCTCTCATCGGTGAGAGGGGAGAGTTTAACAGTTGGATGCAACACTTTGAAGAGTTAAGCGCCCTGAACCACCAACACTTTCAAATAATCCCGAGCGCCAAAGAGAACCTATTACTAAACTATTAGCATAGAATTATGCGCCATTACTAATGATGAATTCCACACATATATTATATCTACGGTGCCATGATGCTTAAAGAAGATGAGCATGAGGAAACGAATTTGTCACCCACCCCTCAAATGATATTGCAAGACATTAGGGACATAGAAGTAGAAGAGATCCCACCTACACGGGTGAGCAGGCGTTTCATCAAACTGCCTAATAGGGGAACTCTGTCAGACTGGAGACTACTCTCCTATCACAAGCAAAGTCTTCTGCTTTAGTAATAATTTAAAAAGCATAAGTCGGGAAAATGTCGGCTTTAGCAAACGGACATAGAGCATTAATCACAACTTTGTCCTAAGACAAATCCTAGAGGGCATAGGCGCTCATGTATATATGTATATATTGTCTTTGTCTAGTTCGTGAAAAGATTAAAATTTGACAATCTATATGAAGAGTCCCTTTTGAAGATTTCTCGCCGATTCTATTTTCACTAAGGACACACGGCAGGAGGCAAGAACCTTATGGATGTTTAATGACTTACTCTATTCCCTGACATTGGATGGCTGCCCAGCAAGTACTATGATGGCCAGGAAAAATAACAATTAGTTGCTGCAACGGCCAATATCAAAGGCGTGATCCTTTCAATATGGAGATCAAGCTACCAAAGCATCAGCACCAAGACCATCAAATGTAAAAGTAAATGTCTTGAGTGTTGCCCGCCGTCGATCAGAATTTGGGTTGTGGGGGGGGGGGGGGGGGGGGGGGAAGAGGGTCACTAGCCCCCCACCCGAGCGTTATCGATTCGTTTTCTCTGACAATTGCTTACGAAGAATCCAAAGAATGTTTTTAGGATAATCTAAAATGAAAGACTAACGAGACGCTGATGGTAACGCGAATCACTACAGAAGCCGTACAAGCACGTAGCTATTATAGAGATGGTTGATGTCTTGTTTCTAGCATGCCAACAGTCTCACCTCCCAGGACGGCACTACACGGACATTCAAGTAACAAAACGATATCGCGGAAAACCCGAAGTAGAATGGAGGAGGCGAGCAAGGGAGAAAGATCAGTGAATTAGATATCACATCACGCCAGCGTGTCCAAGACAGCGGATAGATTGGTGCTGCATTCAATGATCCATCGGTTCTTTGCGTCAAGTCCGTCACCCTGTAAACGTTAGGTGTCAAGGCGCCACCGTCCCCCTCCTACTTCCCACCTGCTATAGTCCTCACGCATTAATTCTATTCAGTAGCGTAGGAAGGAGGTGCAGAGCGGGAGTTCGCTCCAGGTGGCACTTATTTTCTCGCTATATTTAAGGCGTTATTATCGGCCTACTTCAGAATTTGTTCTTGGGTGGGGCGAAAAAAATATTGTCCCGCCCCGTGCGGCACTAACCCTAGCTACGCTATTGTATCCACCTCGCTAATTTGTTATCATATACATATTGTTTATTTTATAAGTTTTAACCTCTTGGAATCAGCCAGTATATAATCCATCCCTGTGGCGCTACAGCCCATTTAGGGCTTTGGCCTGCCTCACTACTTCCTTCCACTCAGACCTAACTAATGCTTTTCTTTTCCATGCTTGGATTTTCAGTTTTTGTAGATCTGTTTCCACATCATCTATCCATCTAAGCCTAGGTCTGTCTTTGATCCAGTATATAACCAAGCAGCAAATAAATTGGTTTGGCTCCTGGTTAGAACTCCTGTCAACCAAAGTTGACTGTTATCTTTTTTTTTTCCCATCACAACTTTGGCCCCTTAAATATCCGATCCCCCCTTTCGCCACCCCACCCGCGACCGCAGAAGTTGCAAGCCCAAACGATGGCTATACTTTCGGTTGTTCGTGGACTCCCCACGGCACATCATCGGTAGAAACGAACAGAAAAAGAGGAAGGAAACACAATTTTTGCGATTCCGTGATATTTAAAAAAAAAAAAATGAAAAAATTCAGCTTCGTTTCTTAACACTTACAATTTTTTTTTTTTTAAAATCATTACGGTACCTTTAAAGTTAAAGTAACAAATCGTTGAGAGTTGCATTGCCCGCGAGCACTGCATTCAGGGTTTGCCCGATCTTGTTTTAAGCTTTTGAGTGCCTGCTGTTTCAGCAGCGGTGCATAATTGGGAGTTCAAAAACTTTTATTTCACCAATGGATTGACGTACTACTGCAGGCGAGTCCCGACACAAAAGCGGCTTAAGATAGTATCGTCACCATAATAATGTATGTGTGAAAACTCACGAAAAAGTTGTTCGATTGAAAGCTGGTCGAAACTTGATGACAAGATTCAACACAGACATACATGTCATAAACCTTGGGTAAATAAGAATAGCTCATTCTGAGATATAAACAGATGTGTATAACAGATCAAGAATTAGACTCGTGGGCCCACAGTAAGGAATGCAGACTAGGGATTTCCCCATTCGGAGTACTGTCCAGGCGGTCACCAAGGGGTCTAATCTGATCACAACCTGTCCGCCCAAACTCAATTTAAAGTTTACTTACACGTCTTGCTCACACACAGTATCATGATGGTATGGCTTTTCATTTATGGTGCCGGGTGGACATTTGCTGACAAATAAATTTTAAAAAAATACAATAAAATGGTTGAAGTATTCATATGACGCATTTAATATCTTTCAATAAATAATGCTATAAATGCCATTAACCATTTGAACCTCGTAAATAACTTCATTACGAATGTATATTGAATACTAATTGAAAATACATTGAAAAGGACTATCTAAATAAAATAATTTAAAAAACAACAACTGCTGTCTTACAGGCAGATAAGGTGCCCTGAATCATTTGCCACAATGTTCAACTGGTTCGTCCAATACGTATTCGTAGGACACTTAATAAAGAAAAAATACCGCGCGTCTCCATACACATCACAGAACAGCATTTCTCCATTGTCAAAGCATCGTTCTAAAGAATTAAATGTGATCTGTCCAGCAGTTGAGTTGGCCACTAGGTTTAGTATTAGTACGTAAGTTAGGAATGTGCACATCTCCATGTTACCACTACGCTTTAGCTGAAAATTGAAAAAAAAGAACATCTTCAAATCTTGAAAACATATTTACGTCAGATTTACATAAAATGCAATACTGAATGCAAATTGCCAAACTAATGCAAACTAATTTAAAGACTAACGAAGCACGATGTAGTGCAGCCCTGATCGGTCACCCCTTTTGCTCCCATTAGGTACGCCAAAAGGGAAGTAAAAATTCAAATACCAAGAACAGGGCCATCTTAAGAGCATTGAATGCCTCGAGATACGTAATGCACCGATGCCCCCTATTCCTACTGTCGAGCATGGGAGTTCCCTAATAATTGTTACGCACCGGATAATGTGTTTTATTGTGTGGGGTGTGTTTTGAAAGCGTTAATAGTTAATGAACGCTTTCCCCACCATTTATTTGGTGACGCATTTTTATGGTAATTGTAGCGCATGGTGAGACTTTCGCACACGTCCTTATTCGTCCGCAGTCGTGGAAAGATCCGTGTAGCGGATAGTTGCGCATTATTCTCTCATAAAGCTAGTTGCGTTATGCATGTGCATAATTAAATGTAAAGACTGTTAAATATATTTACAGATTAAAGTTTCATTTCTTAGGGGAAAAGCCTTGTCTTTAATTCGGTGTTAGTACGACGTGTAAACAATGTGTATAAGAATTTGATGACTTAAACCGATCAAATATCTTGATCTTGACACCTATCTTATTCAAGTAATGCATCGAGGCCCCCTATTCCTATCTAACCTGTTCAAGTAATGCATCGAGGCCCCCTATTCCTATCTAACCTGTTCAAGTAATGCATCGAGGCCCCTTATTCCTATCTAACCTATTCAAGTAATGCATCGATGCCCCCTATTCCTATCTAACCTATTCAAGTAATGTTAAGAAAAGAGTTTGGGTTCTAGGTTGGCCCTTGCGTTTTTCAGGCAGACGGTAAAGGGAGAAGGGCATCTATCAGCTCCAAAATTGGCCATAACGTTGCCAAGGGCCAGCTCTGACTGACTCTCTCGCCCATGCCATACCTAAACATAAATTCATTCTAGTTCCAGTTGTGGCAACATCTGATGGTAAGCTTTCGGTCACAGCTAAGTATCGGACCTGGAATCTATGCATATATATATATATATATATATATGTACAAAACTAAAAGAAATACAGAATTTATTTGTATAACTAACATCCAGTGCTTTTTTTTTCTTTTTAGATATGCGGGGTTGCTTTTCGGCGCATACCTAAACTTTGCTTTGGAAAGAATTATTCCACACTTAAAATCCGTTTTCCTTGAGCTTTTTTATTGTTTAAAATGTATGTTTTTTTTTTTTGTTTTTGTTTTTTTTTTTTTTTTTTTTTTTTTAATAATATAGAATTTAATCTTTCTTTTTTTTTTTTTTTTTTTTTTTTTTTTTTAAATTTTTTTTTTTTTTTTTTTTTTTTTTTTTTTTTTTTTTAATTCTTTTAAATAATATAGAATTCAATCTGTCTATTTTTTTTTAAACTACCGGTACTGCGTTAATAACTGAATTTTTTTTTAAAAAGTACATTCCGTGCAAAAAAGTTGTTTGTGACAAAAAAATGCTCCTTACATTATTGTATATGTTGAAGAGAACCGGAAACAAAACGATGCGAATACTAAACCCCATAATGCTTTGATTTAAATACTAAATATTTCCAAGTTTTACAGATACAAAAAAAGGGAGCAAATAATTTTTCGTAGAAAAGGTCTATATATCGTTATGGCTATTTAAAATTGGTCATTTAAATGTATACTGGTCATATAAATCGTATCCGGAAATTTGATCGAAAGAAATTTCGTCGACGGAAAATTGGACGAATCTTATTATCTAGTTTTACGTTACAGTTTTGCATCAAATTTCGTTTTGGACGAATTATTTTGTTTACTAAATAGGAGAGTGCGTTTAAAAAGAAATTTGACGAAAATTTTAACGTGCGAACGGAAAAAAAAGATTCGACCAAATTTCCGTTCGATCAAATTACCGTCGATCAATTTACCGTCGACGAAATTTCTTTCGATCAAATTTCCGGTAACCCATATAAATACCATCATTACTTAAAGAAGATTACGTTTTAGATGGGGCATATTTACAAAGTGCAAAATACATTTATCAATGCATTATTTATCAGGGCGCAGTGGAAGCAGAAAAACTTTTTAAAAATCAGTCAACTGAAAGGTAGAGACCAACCGAATTTCGGCTTCGGTTTCGGCGCCGAAAGTGGCCATTTTATCACTTTCGGCCAAGTTTCGGTTTCGTCCAAAACTGAACAGTTAACTTTCGGCTTAATTTCGGTTTCAGCCGAAAGAGAAAAATTAACTTTCGGTTTTTCTTCGGTTTCGGCCGAAATTGACTTAGAACTTCGGCCAAAAAAAGTAACTCAGGTTTTCGGTCATTTAATACTCAGCGTAGCGATATTTAACAACAAACTAAGCGTCATTTAAGAACAAATTAAGCGATCTTTGAGAACAAACTAAATGATATTTAACAACAAACTAAGTGACATTTAAGAACAAATTAAGCGATCTTTAAGATTAAACTAAGTGATATTTAGAACAAACTAAGCGATCTTTATGAACAAACCCACCGATCTTTAAGAACAAACTAACCGATCATTGACAACCAACTAACCGATCTTTAAAAACAAATTAAGCGATCTTTTAGAACCACAATTTTTAGAGACCCAGTTTTTGCATTAATTTCCAACCCCCCCCCCCCCCCCCCAATTTTTTGCCAAATTTTTCCCTCCCAACCCAATTTTAAAAAAATTAAAAACAATTTAAAAAAATTTGTTGGCCAAATTTTCTCCTACCATACTAATTTTAAAAAATTGCAAAGCAATTTAAAATACTTTTATATTAAAATGGTAAAATCAAAAGTATTCATGAGATCAAGGGTCCTAAACTCAAAACATCAGGGGGGGGGGGGGCAAGGAGGTAGTGTCTGAATGAGAGTGGGCCGCATCAAGTAATCCAGAAAAAAGCGAATACAACTGTTACAATCTGCTCAGCCTTTATAAATAACAATAAAATCATTAAGGGTTCGCAAGAACTAGGATTCACTTTCATCATCCACCTACTCACTGTTGCATACAAAAATATTTATAAACATTAAAAAAAAAAAAAATCAGAATTAGACTAGTCGGTGAGATTCGACTGAAACCGTCGAGGAGAGTCACGTTATAGATATGAGAATGGGGGAAACGGGTCGACGCATTTACACTAAACTTTTCTGTCCTGTAGCGGGCCGCAAAATATCGTCTTGCGGGTCTATATTAGATGTTTATTTATTAATATTCACGATTATCTCATATTTTATAAAAAGAATATAAATATTTATACTTTCCCACATCATTTTCGATGTATGCAGAATGTATGCGGAAACGAATTTCAAAATATCTTAACATTTCATTTTTGGTTTCGGGTTTCGGTTTCGGCCGAAAGTCATTTTCAAACTGTCGGCATTTTTTCGGTTTCGGCCGAAAGTCATTTTAAACTTTCGGCCTATTTTCGGCTTCGGCCGAAATCAGAAAATCACTTTCGGTCGGTCTCTACTGAAAGTTTTATTTAGAATATTCAACTCCTCTACCTTTCTTCAGATACGTAGCTAGAAGTTTTAGCCCCTCTAGAAGTATGAGGCCCCAAAGAAACTTTAGGCCCCCTAGAAGAGTTACGCCCTCTAGAACTGTGAGGCCCCCAAGAATTGCGAAGCCCCCAAGGAGAGTTATGCACTCTAGAAGTGTGAGATCCCCAAGCAACGTTAGGCCCACCAACAAACGTGATGCCCCTAGAAGCGTTAGTCCTCATGGAAGCGTTAGGCCCACTAGAAGCGTGAGGCCCCTTAGAATCGTTAGGCCTTGGGCAACATCCCAGTGTGACATTGACGCCACTGACTGGTCTTAATCTGCAGTGTCTTTCAGAGCTCATAAAGCCACGCCCATCGCCGCGGTAAGGCCCAGGCAGTTAATAGACTTGTGACGTCACTTTGGGGGAACTCCCAAATATAGCCTTATGTTGAATGGTGGAATTCCAAAAAAATATATAACCCCATTATTGACGCTGGAGATGTACAATTTGCGCCATTTCAGGATGATTAAAACTAATTAATTAAAATCAGTTATTTATGTAAATAAAATTGAAATTACGATTCATTAATTATACGATAGCTGAGCATTGGTGTATTATTTAGAAATGGTTATTGAAACGATAATATTTTTCATGATCATGTGATATTAATTATCATTCATTATTAGTGCGGCAGTCCGATCTTCAGTTTGCCTACCAAAAAAAAGAACGATTGCTTGATAACACTAACTGCTGATAGATGTACAGAGTTATAAGTAAGACTTATTATATATATATATTATATCTATTGTTCCTCACATCAAAGGGAGAACACATTAGAACAGCGATTTATGAAAAGAGTCTACTTACGTATTTTAACGTCTTATTTATAAGAGATAAGACAATACCAAAAACGCAGAATAGAATATTGTTTCTAGATCCAAAAAAATAACGCACATAAGACACTTACATATTATTCAGAACACTGCAGTGGAGCGAGTGGTATCCAAAGAATGGTATCGAAAGAGTCGAAATAGTGGTATCGAAAGAGTGGTATTGAATAGTGGTATCGAAAGAGTGGTATCGAATAGTGGTATCGAAATAGTGGTATCGAATAGTGGCATCGAAAGAGTGTTATCGAGAAAAGAGGGGTACACAATCAGGTGACAAGGATAGGCCGACCCTGGTACCCGTCGTCCGACGGGGACACAGGTGGGAAAGTTGTGAACGGGCCACCGTGAACCAACCGTGTTGCCGTCGAGTTGTATCGACTCAAAAACAATGCGAGTTTTTTTTTTCTCTTGTTGACTCTAATCGAATTATTATATTAGGGGTCATCCATATATATTACGTTAGCCAAAAACGTAAAATATTAGACCCCGCTCCCCCTTGAAAGGGCACCCCCCCCTCCACGACGTTACGCGTACGTACTATAAACTCTACGCGTACTATAAGACCAACCCACTCAAAAGAAAAATTTTAAAATCATAATGTGGCAGTGTATGCCCCAGCCCACTATTGGACCCGTTACGTAAACCATGTTTGGCGCCCAACGCGAGGTGTGTAGTGGCAGTGCATGCCCCAACCCACTATTTGACCCGTTACGTAAACAATGTCTGGCGCGGTGCGTAACAGGTATCCCTTTCACCCCCCCCCCCCCAACACGGTCACTATACGGCCAGCGCTTAGGGAGGAAATTTAAATACCGCGATGTGCGCTTTAGTTAGAAATTCAATAATTTATTGCTCGGGAACCCTTGCGTATTAAGTTATAAATTATATCTAGTTAGAAAGGGGATTTTATTCACTATACCTTAGCATATTTACAAGTTTCCAATCGTTGGAGGATATTTTAACATTTAGTCATTAAAGGAGTTTTCGCCTTCATTTATAATGGCCCCCACCCCCTTCTAGTTAAAATATCTCAAAAACTATTTAAGTCATAAAAATATAAAATAGTATTTTAGATAGCTAAGACAAAACTGCACAGATCACATAGAAGTCTTTAGGGCTTTGGTCAGGGATTTTAATTATTACTCGGGAGTAGTCCACAGATTTAGGCATTTTACCTCAGGAAACTGGCCAGAAGGCAAAACGTAGACCGACTTGGTTTAGGTCTGACGGAGGGGCTCTCTCATATGTCCGCGCACGGCTTTATAAAGGGGAGCACACTAAGTAGTGGTCATTCGAGATTGGTCAGCGTACCTGCAGTGTGCTTTTGTTCAGTGCGGCCCATTGGAACGCTCTGTAAGTAGAGGCAATTACGCCATTTTATTTCTTTGTGGTTAGTAGGAACTTGTTGAGTGTTAGCATTGGAAGATTTCTGTTCAGACTTATAACCAGGATATAGTGTAGAATAACCTACAGCGTGTAGACTTAGGCTCAGGCTATTTTAAAAATATTGTCCTTTTTTTCTTTTTCTTTTCCTTCAAGTGTAGTGTATTTTTCATACACCTTTGTCTTCATAGTGGAGCATTAATAAAGCTATAGTCCTCGAGACCTACATTTCTTCATTTATTTATTAGTAGCTGTCAGTGGCAGCCTTGGTACACCCAATCACCTGCACCAACCAATCACCCAACACCTCACACTCGGCTACAGTTTTTGGCGCTGCGAGCATGGTCACCACTACCACTCACACTACTACAGTTTTTGGCGTCGTCGTCAGGATCACCTCCGTCACACACCACACTACTACAATAAAAATATTCATAAACCATTATGACGCGAAATACAAAGAGAACCAGTCAGAGGGTGGCATTTTAGGCCAACATTTTCGTGACAGTGAATGGCTAAAATATTTGACCTCCCAGTCAGGATGGTAAGGGGGGGGGGGGAGTCAGTAATCTTAGCTATGCCAAGACTCTGGGATATAAGAAATGTGAGTTTGTTTCAAAATAAGATAAGGGGGTGGTGTTATTGTTAGAACGTGATTTTTTTTTTTTTAAAGTTATCCACTGCTACTGTTTTCATCGATTGCAAATTGCAATACAAATATTTCCATTTTTTTAATAATTTGTTTAGTTTTCTCTTAAAATTTTGAAACTTAAGGCCTAAATGGTAGCCAAACTCAAATTCAATATTCTTTATAAGGTAGCATTAGGACCGCTCCCCCCAACCCCCAATTGGGAGGGGGTGGGTGGGTGTCATCAAAACATTTTCGGTGATCAGTTGGGGCATGGGATAAATAGTATTTTTAGTCACACAAACTTAGGTATGTTCATTTCTACATATTTATGATTATGTGTCAAACTGGTGATTTGGTCTAAGGAATCGGGTTTTAAGCAGGTTATCGGTTTTTACGATGCAACTGTTGCACGTAAACATGATTGCATGATTCATTCACTCGTAGCGTCAACCCTAAACTCTTATGACTTCGGCTATTTCATCACAGGCGAGTGTGACGTGCTTTAAAAAAAAAGGGGTGGGAAGTCCAGAGGTTCGGGACAGATTGTTACAGGGGGAGGGAGGGGGTAAAATTGTCCAAATATAGCGTGACGTACGTAATGGACGGCCCCTTAGGTTATTATTATTATAAGGGGTTTTATATAGCGTGGTACCCCAGCCTAGGGCTGGGCAAACCACGCTGCACATACAATTTAAAAAACATAATCATGAACTGTAAAAAATTAATTAGCATACATTAATTGAATTTTAAAAAAAAGTGTATATTTAAAACTATTTACATTTCAAGCCATGGACGACACCCAGCAGCATCGTATTTCGGTCAGAGGTGGGAATCAGTCAGGAGAGTAGAGTTTAAAAAGATGTGTTTTGAGAGCAGTTTTGAAGGCTGTGGTGGTCGGTATATTGCGGATGTGTAAGGGAAGAGAATTCCATTGTTTGAGGGCATAGAAAGAGAAAGATCGTTCGCCCTATGTTTTTGTGCGAGTTTTGGTGACAGAAAGAATACGCGCGTCTGCGGAGGAGCGAAGCTGTCGAAAGGGGTGAATAGACAGAGAGAAGTTCGGTTAGATAGGAAGGGCAGAAATTCTAGACAAAGTTGTGGCGGAGAACAGAGAGTTTGTAGTCAATACGGGCTTGTATAGGGAGCCACTGAAGTGAATGAAGTAGTGGTGTGACGTGATTACGTTTTTTTTTTGCCTTTAGAATTAGCCTAGCGGCTGAGTTTTGAACCTTTTGTCATTTTTCTAAGAAGTGTTTTGATGAACCTGATAGAAGTGAGTTACAATAGTCAAGACGAGAGAGAAGAAGAGCACAGACTAGGGTTTTTGTAGCGCTAACTGTGAGGTAGTGGCGTATGGAGCTGATCTGACGAATAGCGATGTATGCAGAGTGACAAATGTGAGAGATATGATTATCAAGAGACATATTGTTAGACATAATATAACCAAGATTCCTAGGGGACGATGTAAACTGTATGTCGGAGTTACCTACTTGAAATGAGTTGGGGAGATCTTAGTTTGAGGATAATCTGTGATCGTGAATAAGGAGTGCTTCCGTTTTGTCATCTTTAAGCTTCAACTTGCTGAGTGTCATCCATGACTTGACATCACCAATGCTCCCCGCAAAGTCCAGATAGTGAAATCGACAAGAGAGGGATGGGTATGCTTGTATGGCTGCGTGTCATCTGCGAATGACTGGCTCTCCACATCAAGCCTCCCGAGCAAGAGGAGCAGTGGCCTGGTATACATTATAATAGAACCGTGCCCCAACGGACCCCTGTGGCACTCCGTACACCAAGTCAGCACTGCCAGAGAGACAGCCATCGACAGCGACCGCCTGCGTCCTATCGGAGAGGTAGGACCTAAACTAAGCCAAAACTGAACAAGAAATTCCAAAGTAATTTTCAAGGGTTTTGTAAAGGGTTTCATGGTCAACAGTGCTCAAAGGCCGCACTGAGGTCTAAGAGGATCAGGATGGAGATATCACCGCTTTCCAAAGCGAGCAAGAGGTCATTGGTGACTCTCAAGAGAGATGTCTCAGTGCTATGGAAAGGTTTATAATTTTATTTTAATTTTAAATCCATTATGACAATACACAACATGCAGTGGACTTGGTGCAAACCAGTAAAAAACATGAGTAATTACTGTTAGCAGAACCTCCTATTAATGGTTACTTGATTGCGCTTAGTGCTTAATGTATATACTTTTACCCAACACTTTCATCTTTTTAAAATGTGTACGGTATTTCGAAGTGTAATTGTTAGAATTGGACACGAGGCACCTGGTACAACGAAAATACGACGAGGATGCAAGGATTGAAAAAAAAAACACTTTAGAATCACAGGCGTGGCCCGAACAAAGATAATTACGTCACACGCACGGAAAAATACAAAGCGAACGGTTTAGTATTACTTTTATTAGCGAGTTCACCAGTGAAAACATAAAAGGACAATATGGAGTTAATTACAAAACACTGCGTGATATTTTTATAGCATAAGAGATACCAAAAGGCTGTATGGCCTTTGAGAATTTCAGCATAAGTATTGCAGAATATGTGAATAAACCCACGTTCATTCTGTCTTGACACATCAATCGCAGGTTAGGGACCATCCATATAATATATTGGGTGCGGGAAAAAAGGTCAGATTTTCAAACCTCCTTCCACTTGTTACACACCCGTACAGCGGGCAGACAGTAATCGCTGACATGCACACACACACACAGCTCCTTTCTCAGTCATTGCGTTGTGGGTGTCAGTTGCGCTTCTACGCAGCTCAATACTATTGCTTTTTACTCTCGATACTCACATTATTAACTTTTTTTTTAAAAATCGCTTACATTGACTACCGCAATTGTGTATTAAATGGTAGGTTTGCTTTTCTTGCTATGGAACAGTGATTATTGCAGAAATTTTCTTCACTTCAGATTTTTAGGGGGGGGGGGGGGTGGCAGTGCCAGTTGATTTATTNGGGGGGGGGGGGGCACTTGGCTTTCCCTGGGGAGGGGGGTACCCGCTCCCCCGGAGATATAGCTGAAAGAAACCCTGCTATGGAAGTATTCTGTGTTCCCTTGAACTATTTTTATCATCCATGTGTTTGAGTCGTGTGTATGTTAAATTACTTACACATTCCACGGTCGACATGTATAACTTTGACACGGGTACACTAGTACTAATGTAGTCTGGAAGCTCAATTTCAATCATTTATTGGCGGGTACACGTGTACCGTGGGGGCCTGAACTTGACAGGGGTTTTAAAAATAGTTGACAGCCCTATAATACAGTTAGCCTACGGGTGACTGCACGCTATCTGCCTGGCCCACTTTGTTCTCACTTTTGTTATTTACACGGAAACTTAGATGTACAGTTATACCTCTTAACTTGCATTCAACCTTTCCTAATAACTTGAAATAGTTACAATGAAATAAATATATATCAAGTCGAGTACAAAATACATAATAAAAAGGAAAAAAAAAAAAATATTGACACTGGGGATCGGTAAACTAGTCTTTTAATAATTTCTGTTTTAACCAATTCTATTATGCTACGACACTTTTAAAGGGGCTGAACAAAAGTTTTTTGCATTTTATGATATCGATTTCAGCTATTTAAATGAACGACTTACCATGGATATCACGCCAGCATCGTCACGATAAAGGTATGACCAGAAAAACCACGCAGAGCTTAGTGTTGTCTGCTAGAAAGCCTTGCGAGTCTCATAAGAAAATTTTAGAAATAACAGACACATGCGATTCTTCGGTGACACACAAATTAGCTACGTAGAAGGCGAGCCAATAAGACGGATACCCCTCCCCCCCCCCCACACACCCTCTTTACAAGACATGCATTTCTGTTGTCACGATGACACCAACAGTGGTGACAAATATGTTTCAAACACCTGGCCGAGTAACCGTCGACTCGCGGAGTCGAGTACACGACAGAGCAGACGATTTATTTTCGGAATGAAGGGAGTCATGGGGGTACTGTGATTAGTTCTTTTTAAACAAAACAAAAACTATGCTGTGTGTAGCCTATGTCCTAATGTTACGACTTTACGCTTGAAATAATGTTGTTTATTAGCAAATACTGTATTGGTAAAACATTTTAAGTCAATGGATTTATATGTAGTAGAGTGGGGTAATGGTGGTGACTACTGGAGGGTGGAGAGGTGTGTGTGTGACACACTTTTAAAACCCTGCTGGCAGCGACAAAAACTGTAGCAAGGTGGTGGTAATTGGTCTTGTGATGAACGAGGCTGACAGTTTTTCTAATATACACTAAAACAAATGCAGGTCTTGTGGACCATAGCTTTATAATACTTTATTATAAACTTTAACGCTAAAGAAAAAGCTAAAGAAACAGCTAAAGAAACAAAAAAGTCTACTATGAAGAAAAGTGCTAAAGAAAAAAACAAGTCCAAAGAAAAAGGACAATATCTGAAAGGCAAACAAATAGTACAGGTTAACAATGTCCTGGCTAGCATTGACTAACACAGCTAATAATAAACGTGTTGAATAACGCCGTAATTATAGGTTGCGACAAAATATACGTAACTAAGGATAGCGCAGTACACGTTATTCAAACGTCAAAAAAGTTTTATTATTTCAATAATGTTTAATTATAAAACAAATCACGTGGCAGTGTTTAACTATATATAGTAGCACGTACAGCGTCCTACACACAGAACCAGTGTGAGATGTGAGGGCTAACAGAAAGGTCTAGAAGTTACTATGGTATGCCATCCACGTACAGTGTCTATGTAAGATGCACACATAGCAGGACAGTTAATACATTGGTATAAAGTATGTCCACCGTTAGCTTGATACTTGCAGCTATCAATCGCTGTGTCTTTTTAAGACAAAAGCAAATTGCAGAATGTCTAATTAATGTCATATTATCCTAACACATGCACCATTTCCTATGTGAGAATTTAGCACAGGGCAGGAGAGTTAGCCTATTACACATATTCGCTGGCTGTATACTGTTGTATCAATAGCTTATAAGAACATTGCAGTATGTGTAACCTGGGAGATATACGATTGCGTGTTATGCTCACATACACTGGTATCTAATTCCATTAAGTATTCAGTGAACCGCTGTATGTTAAACCATCACAATATCATGGTTACAAGTCAAATTGGCGGCGCTAACGTGATTAAAACACTGCCTAATATAAGTACTGATGAGAAATCTTCCATTACTAACACTTGCATACTACAAACAAAGAAATATAATGGCGTATTTCCTTCTACTCACAGTTACAGAGCGTCCAAATGGACCGCGCTGAACACTGACACCGGTGCACTGAACACTGACACCGGTGCACGCTAGGGATGCGTTTGAAACTTTGAATTAAAAAAACGCATTAGAGTTCGCCTTAATAAGTCAAAGTGGTGCGGACAGACTAGAGAGAGCATCTACATCACATGACAACTAAGACAGTCTTACTTGCCTTCTGGTACAGTCCTTGTGGTAAATCAACAATCCTTAAGTAGAGGCGTAGCGAGAGGGGGGGAGGGGCAGGGGGGGCAGATGTCTCCGGGCGCAAGCTAGTTAGGGGCACCAAAATGTGCTTTGATATTATATTATTGGTAAAAATAATGGGTTTGAGAGTTGAAAAAAAGAAAACGGGGCGCTTAAAAATGAAACTTGTCCCCGGGCGCCAAACACCCTCGATACGCTTCTGTCCCTAAGTGACTCCAACCCAAATAAAAGTAAAGTAGAAAATCCCGGACCAAACCCCTAAAGACTCCAATGTGTACTTTTCAGTTTTGTCTTGCCTACCTAAGATACTTGCCTACCTAAGATACTTGCCTACCTAAGATACTTGCCTACCTAAGATACTTGCCTACCTAAGATACTTGCCTACCTAAGATACTTGCCTACCTAAGATACTTGCCTACCTAAGATACTTGCCTACCTAAGATACTTGCCTACCTAAGATACTTGCCTACCTAAGATACTTGCCTAATTAAATGTTTTTTTAAAAGTATTTTAAATAGAAAGGGTTGGACCCCCCCCCCCCCCCATGGATGGATGTGAAAACTCCCTTTATTGCTTAATATTACAACGCCCCCTAAAGATGTGGACTTGAAAATATACTAAGTTATAGCGAATAAAGTCCCCTTTCCAAATAGATATAATTTATAACTTAATATACTTAGGTTCCCGAGAAATAAATAATTGATCTTGAACCAAAAGCACACATAGAGTGTCCCTCAGTATTCTACGCAATGGGCCTCTTTACATTCATTGAACCCGTGGTCAAATTCCCGCGTTGGGCGCTAAACATTGTTTCGTCACAGCGTGACCTACAATGCCACATCTAAAGGGTTTTATTTCGCCTTATAATAATGACCAATACGTGTGCAAGACCAATATGGTAGCACCAATGTGCGTGCAAGACCAATACGTGTTCAAGACTAACAGTATGCAAGACTAACAGCAGCTAGATGTAAGAAGCAACGCATTGTATCTCAGATTAAGAATAAGGATGCTAAATTTTAAAAAATCAAGATTTAAAAAAACAATATTTACAATAATAAACCAGTAGTATAGGTAATCAATACCTTCGCACTCCCCCCCCCCCCCCCCTTCGCACGGCCCTGATTACAACCAGTGACGTAGCTAGCATTTGTGCTACGCAGGGGCATCCTTAAGTTTTCGCCCATACCACCCATAAAGAACAATACAAATTATACCTTTAAATATGCTGCTACCATTGGCATATCAAAATATGGGGTGGGGGATAGCCAAGGCGTGACGTCTCATTTGGAGACCCCATGGCACTTTACAATTTTTCTTATTTATCTATTCAGCCAGTCCTTCAACTTAAAAATACTTTCGATTTTTATTTTTTTTTTTTAATTTTTTTGTTGTTGTCCACTTCACTGAATTAGGACCCTTTACATATCCGAGCCCCTTGAAGTCGCAGTGGTTGCAGGACCGACGTGACGGCCCTACGTGACAGGTGTAACATCTAACGTCCGTTCACGCTGTGTAATTGATAATAATAATATAAATCCGAAAACGTGATTCTAATAAACAATACAATGTATAATAGTATCATTTTGAAACTGTTTTTATACTTGATTCTATAAAGCAGCTCTTCTAACAACCATTGATGACAATAAACGGCGCCAATTATGTTTAGACAGTGTCACGAAACTTTTAACGAGTGAGATCTGATTCAAACTCTAATACCAAACAAGGCAGCAGAATTTATATAATAAAGAAAAGGAAGTGCCATTCTACGATTGTTCATACCGGAACTAAAAGTTTTATTTCAATGTAAGAATGATCGTTAGCTAGATTTTATAACTCAAGTCATCTATATGTAGGAGAGTCAAATGGTCAAAGTCAGATGAGACTGCCATCTCGTTACAAGTAAAGAAACAAAAAGTACAAAGTATGTGAATACTATTTACCACACCCCCCCCCCCCAATGATAAACAAATTCTAGTAACATGCACATAAAAATGCTTTTGGGGTCTTGCAGTAACCCCTGACCCTAACCCTAACCCTAAACCCCTGACCCTAACCCTAACCCTAAACCCCTGACCCTTGCTTACGAACTCCTGGTGTACACAAACAGATAAGAGTCTTTTTTTTTTTTTAAAGCGTGTGTACTGTGTAAGTGTTTATCATCATAGATTAAGACTACGATCACTAACTGTAACACTCAGCCTGCTCCTTATACATTATCTGCATCGAGGACCGATCTGCTTTCTTTTTAATGACTTGTCAAGCGGGGGGGGGGGGGGGGGAGGGGGGAACCGATCTGCTTTCTTTTTAATGACTTGTCAAGCGGGGGGGGGGAGGGGGAGGGGGGAGGGTTTTTTTTAAAAGTACAATGAACACCCGATATCACCTTTCCTTAAAACCCACCCTAAAAAAATACCATCACCAAAAATCAAAAATTGTTTTATTAAAGGCCATCATTCTTTGCCATAAGACCGTTCTCTATCATAAGTATGGGCCATCACTGCACAAATCATATGCCATGTTGACAACAATGATTCCCAAACTATTCTAATCCCACACTCCACCTGAGCTCATGAAAAAAGGTTTTGATTTCTAGTTGGCAACAACGACAATGGGCAACTTTGTTGTGCAATGGAAGTGTGTTTAATTTAAAGAATTTGTTTTGTATATAAATTAATTTCTCGTTCTTATATATATTTTTAAAATGTAGGCCAATATAACAAAAGCCTATATTATTTTCTAGCTCAGTCTACACCAGGGGTCTCAAACTCGCGGCCCGCAGGCCATTTGCGGCCTGAAAGACGATATTTGTGGCCCGCTACTGTCACAGAGTGACTAGTAAGCCAAGGTCAACCATAGCGAGTTAGAGAGAGAGGCAAGGGAAGGGGGGAATAATTAAATACCGTACATAGTGGAGGGCTCGGACCTGGGAGGCCACAGGGGATGGGCCGGGCTGGGGGGGCGGGGGGGGGGGGGGGGGGGGGGGGGTACCGACCGACTAGAAAGGGCCTGCGTATCAGCAGGGTTACCAGCATCTGACCAGGGGCGAGCTTATCAGACTTCCCTGGAAGGACCGTTGCGCTATTGCGCTACGGGGGTTTAGGACCATTACAATTGTTCACAAATTTAAGTACTGGAAGATTTGGGAGTCAGATTACAGACATGAGAGGGAACCTCCTGGGGCTCACGAATTATAAATAGGGACCGTAGGACAGGACGGGGCAGAGCTCAGCGGAACAGGGTAGCGGACAGTCAGGGAGAGCTCCGTCCGTAGAAGTAGTAGAGGACTGTCCGAGTTACCATCCTCCTAAAGCAGTTAGACATATATATATATCAACAACGTGTTGGTAGACACCACTGACCACACTTTGAAGAACATTAGAGAGAGGTGAAAGTATCGGACTTGGACTTACCATGTGCCAGTTCACTAGAGAGGTAAGTGCATGTAAGGTGTGTGATTGAAGAAGCTGTAGGGTTGTTGGTTTGTGTGATAGAGAGTTACGTTAGGTAGACGGTAGTAGTTTAGACGACGACGGTGAGTATCTAGTTGGAAGTTAGGATTGATTACATAGTGTAGGGGATTTATTCATATATTTCAGGAATAGTCGCCCTTTATATTGTCGTGAGAGTAGATGCTTGCAGACCCACCATCTCAAGCACTTGGCAGTGAGACGAACGTGCATGGTTCTATACAGACGTTAGACGGAAGACAGTTCCACGAGACTCCACCACTAGAGTCCGTAGCGTGTCGAGAGTCGTAAACTAAAGTGACTGTATCGTGCATGCGTTGTCAGCAGATGTGCTGGAATCATTGAGATTATAGGACAACCTTTATAAGTTTCTTAGTGTACTTTTAAACATAAGTCTTAGTGTATTTTTAAATATAAGTTACATTACATTATATCATATGCTGTGCTGTAAACATTAAGTTTCATTTCATTCATTTATACATTGTAGATAATAAACTAGAAGTAGTTATTGTAAGTTAATTGAAGACTTCGTTGTTATTGTATGTTTGTTGTGTTTCCTTGTTTTGTACAAACAAGGCTGGTGTCAGAAAGGGTGGGACTTAGACCCCAGGCGTTACGTAAACGTAGCGTGAAGGAGCTCGTGACAGCTACACGACAGCAAAGTTTAGTATTGATGCGGCCAGCGCGTGTTCCCCATTCTCATATCTCTAACGTGAACCTCCGCGGCGGGTTCAGTCGAATCTCACCGACTGGTCTAATTCTGATTTTTATTATTGTGGCAATGTGCCACTATATAAGAGAATCCACTCTCAAAGTCATAGTGTGACTGCTATGGGTAACCCCAAGCACGTACACATCCATTATCCATGGTCATTCAACGTAACACTCAGCCGTGTACAGGCCTTAAATTTTATGTAGGTTATTTACACGCGGGAATAACCATCCCTGCTCCGGGGTTGACCCATGGTCAGCTCGGACGCGGGTTCCCTGTGACTGTGTGTGTGTGTGTGGGAGGGGTGGCGAACTGGGACTTGAGGTGTGTACATTTTTTGAGATTGTGGTGTGGAACGGATGCGTCGGGTCGATGGCAGGTGTGAGAGATTTTCCTGTCGGTTCTGTCAACGGATTGTACCTTACATTAAAAAGCTATAGTTCTCAGACCTGATTGTTTTATTGTGATTTCATTTACACTGTAAGCTACGTCATCCACTCGGCTACATTATGTTTGTGTAGATTTGGACGTTGGTTATAATGGTAAAAAACTTTTTTAAAATCGGACTAAAAGTTTTTATTTTATAGCATTTTATGAGACAACACATGGCGGCCAAAGTGCGATTTTGAGAAAAGTTTTTATTTTATAGCATTTTATGAGACAAACATGGCGGCCAAAGTGCGATTTTGAGAAAAGTTTAAAATGTCAGTTAGTGGGTAATGCACAACCATAATTGTGTAAAGAATCCCTATTAAAATTGCCGCTGTGTTTGCGAGTGAGGGAAATTTCGATCCTGTCAGCTCGGTCACTTTCAAAATAGGGTTAGTCAAAAAGCCTTTTCTACGATTAAAAATCAAAATTCATTCTCCCTACAATAGCATCTTCCTTCGCATCAATAATTCATAAATATGGCCTGCTCCTGTGTACTGTTTTAACACGTTTAGCATTTCAAGCCTTCGTGGAGAAGGATGGGGTGGTTGTCAGTGATGTACTTAATAATAACAAATGAATGGCTCATGGTCTTGTCTTTTCTTGTTAACATTACACAGGAGCTGAATGTACTCATCAAGAAGTTACAAGACCAGGGGTAGCTTGTCAGTGTTGCCTATGACAATGTCAGCACATTCTGCACAAAACTTGTGTTAAGGTTCTAAGAGAAACCTCTGCCATTTCCCAACATGCAAAGTACTCATGGTCTCGAGCACACCATTCAGTGTACTGGTGACATTGCAAAGCTACAGGACGAATTTGATCACATGTTTTTAGACTTCAAAACACAAAGGACCACTTTTCACCTTTTTTTACCGACCCTTTCTCCTTTAATGTAGAAGATCTACCCCCCCCCCCCACAACCCCCCCCCCCCCCCTTTTTTTGCGCTTCAAATAGAGCCGATTGATCTTCAGTGCAATTCTAAATTCAGGGAGGTGAATGGAAAAACAGACACGTTACACAATTTATGAGAGTATTGCCCTCCACCTTCCTTGAGATTTCCAGGTTGTACAAGCGGATCCTGTGCCTTTTTTTGGGGGGAGTGCCTAGCTGTATAAAATTTCTCTTTTCCACTATGAACTTTAACAAGTCAAAGTTCAAGGCCAAACTTACTGGTGGGCATCTTCTATACTGACGGTCTTAGTTGCTTCCTCACTGTTCGGTGTCCCTCGGCCGGCTTTTGCTGGGGGAAACAGGCACCACTTGCTCGAGTGGTGTACACGTGATCTGCCTCTTCGTGGCGTAACAGACTAGTATAGGGCGTGCTCCCTGAAGCCAAAGATCACACTGTCCCTATCGAAGGACCCACTGAGCTAGGGGAGGGGGTAACGCAAAGCCCCCTCCCACTGGGAGGAAGATATTTTGCTCAAACCCCACTACTTATTTATTTATTTTATTTATTTTGCAAAACGCATGACTTCTAACGCAACGGAAGAAAGCGCTAACATGATTACGTGTTGCCGGTTATGGGTATGAGGTAGTGGGTCCTAAACCCTTGCCAATGATTAAAAAGACGTGGCCCTGAGAAAGCCACCCCTAGGCGACCGTTTCGTCCCGACATGTCCAGTCCGAACAGCTCCCAGAGCGGTGGGTCGAAGCAACGCAACGCCTCACCCGGAGAGGAAGTTAAAGCCGTTCTGTCCGGTCCGAACAGCTTCCGGAAAAACGCGGGCTGAGGCAAGGCAACGCCTCCCCGGAGGGAAACAATTCTTAGGGAACCCCTAACTTGGCTCAGGACTCCCGGGATGGTGGGAGTTAGTAAGCCAGCAGCTACTCCCGGAGAGGAGGCAAAGCCGTCCCACACCAGGGAAAACGTACAGCTCCCGGGCGGTGGAGGTGGCAACGCAACGTCATCTCCGGGGAGGAAGCAAAGCCGTCCCACACTGGGAAAACGGACAGCCCCCGGACGGTGGGGGTGGTAACGCAACGCCATCTCCGGGGAGGAAGTAAAGCTGTTCCAAACCCATTTTATTCATGACCGAGTTGCATGGCCGGAGTCCCCAGGGACTACTTGGCCATGTTCCACGGCCGGGGTCCTAAGAGAGTAATCTCGTACCCTTAGAATATTGATCTTTATAAGTTGCTTCCTCACTCAGGCCAAATGTTGCTCAGCTGTGTAAGAAGAAGCGCTGCCAGGTTTCTGGCAACAAGGAGAAGGAGGAAGAAAGTGAAGCCGAGTTCTTGAGAACGCTTAATGTTTGTATTTGCTATCAATAAAGACTGAGCAGATTGTAATCTCTATTTAATTTGTAATCGCTTTTTTTGTGGAATGATGATGCGGCCCAGTCTCACTCAGACTCTACCTCCTGCGGCCCCCCAAGGATTTAAGTTTGACACCCATGGGCTACACAATAATCTAAGTTAATAGATAACCTCCACCCCCTTTTTGATTAAAAAAATAACCATTCCTCCCAAAAAGTAAAATAAATAAAGTAATTAATTAAATTAAAAAATAAAAAAAAACTCGAGGACAGGGCTTCTCAAAGTTTGAGTGTGACAGACCGACTGAAATAGTTCTTATTGAAGCAGGGACCATTTGGCTGTTTTTATTGATACAAGTCATCCATATTTAATTTGGCCCTATATATTCTTTTCATTTTCCGATTTAACACATGATTTAAACAGAAATATAATCATTTGAATGTGATAGACCTAATTAATCAAAGAGGTTAATAGACAATACTATACAATAAACCAGTACAAAATTAACGCATTGTTGACGTGACAAATCTTATTTTAAGAAAAGGAACTACACATGACTTAGTAAGAAACAGTTTAGAACAGCGGTTCTCAACCTGTGGGTCGCGACCCCTTTGAGCTCGAACGACCCTTTCCCAGGGGTCACCTAAGACCATCGGAAAACACATATACTCAACAGTTATGAAACATCAACGACAATAATTTTGTGGTTGGGGGTCGCCACATCATGAGGAACTGGATTAATGGGTCGCGGCCCAAGGAGGATTGAGAACCACTGATTTAGAGAGTCATTTAAATGCTAAACAAAGAGAGCAAGCTAATATCACGGTCGTTTAATAGAAATTCTCTAGCCTTACTTAACTTTATGACATATTACTCAGGGGCGTCTCTTCAGGGGTTTTTTTCAGAAAAGGGGGGGGGGGTGCAAAACACAATCGAGCAAAACATAGCAATTTAAATACAACGTTCAAATTCAGGGGAGGGGGGATGCCTCACCCTGCCCTACCCAAATGATATTACTCTTGTTTACTTACGCAATGTCCACATGAAGCGCATGTCTATTGTATCAAATTTAGATGGGATCTTTGAAAATATAGTACATTTTTGGTTTAGGACATTTTCTAAAAGTTTGTAGCGTAAAGTTGCCCATTTTTAGGTGCAAACATTGTCCAAGAAATACTTATAAGACTGTACTTGATCTCACATCACTTTGTCATTATTATTCTAATAATACTTAAAAGACTCACCAGACAAAATATCCACAAGCGTTGTTTTCCAAACCGCAACCGATGAGTCATGAGTCTTGGGCCCACTTAGTATAGCATTGATACAAAACACCATTACCTACCACAAGTCCCCGCATAGGAATGTGCCGCGTGTACCAGTATGCATTTGTATACAGTATATGAGGTATTATTTAACCATGAAGCGAATTTTAAAATAAATACTAGCAAACAGATGAAACCCGCGTAACACCAAGAAGTTAGTTAACTCCTCGGTTGAGAAACAGTAACTTGGGATGACTTGACACATTTGATAAGACACACCTTCAATCTGGCTTAGGCTTAGAGAAATAGGGAAACTCCCATTTCCGAAACTGCAGCCAAGAGTTTCCTGCGAGATCGTGTCAGTCGAAGGCGAGGGTGCAAAAAAAAAAAAAGGGGGGGGGGGAAGGGAATGTTGATTATGACTATTTTTGATTTAATACTATTTTTTTTTTATTTTTTTTTTTTTTTTT